TAGGCAGTTTATCTGAAGGTAGGGTTCCAGTTATATTCATTTCAATGGGTTGGAGGCAACAACATTGTAGCAAATTGTAAAATATGCCTGACCACGGTGGGAATCGAACTTACGACCTTTGGAATACTAGCCCAATGCTCTGCCAACTGAGCTACGCGGTCTGGTCGGTTCGAATATGTGATATGTCGGAACAGAATCTAGTTCCTTCGATATCGATGTAATCTAGTAATAATGATATTTTCTGTGTTGGTGCAATGTACTCAGGTGAATACGATGCTTGCGATGTTACCCTGAGTGTATACACTGTTAATTTCGCGGAGTCAAATTGACTCCAAAAGTGGAGTAAATAAAAAAGGTACAGAACGACTCCTTTTTTGGAGTAAATTTTACTCCTTTATTTACTCCATTTTTGGTGTAAATTTTACTCCTTAAGTAGAGTTGTTTTTACTCTTTGAGGAGTAAAAACAACTCTACTTATGGAGTAAAATTTACTCCAAAAATGGAGTAAATAAGGGAGTAAAATTTACTCCAAAAAAGGAGTCGTTCTGTACCTTTTTTATTTACTCCACTTTTGGAGTCAAGTCGACTCCTTTGGAGACAAAATGACTTCTATATATCGGAGTAAAGAAAAGTCTTTAACTAACTTTAGAAATCAATAAAGACATTTTTCGAGTCAAAATAATTTATTATCCCTACAAGTAAGGTATATATTATAGCAGGAAATACAATTTGCTGTAGCATAATATAATGAAATACTCTTACGCCCTATAATATTTTAATGAAGTTCTAAATTGATTAGAATGATATCATGAATACATGATTAGAATGATATCATGAATACATGTGCAATACAATTACAAGCCTGTCAGCATGAATTGAACCTGCAGCCCTGCAATTCTACAGCTGCCCTCTGACATAAAGAGCACTTTTGCCAAGAGGTAACCACAAGTTGTTGTATGTATACCATGGTGGTGTCATTGGTAGTGTATTAAATAAACTGCCCAGGATGACACTAGTATTATATACATGAACTCTTGGTTACAGTAGAGCTTGATCGACTGTCAGGGCGATGGACTCTTAGGGCTTCAGGACCTTTGACGGTTAAAAAGCTGATCAGAATCACCTGTAGGGCAGCAGGTTCCCATTCCCAGCACAGTACCGGCTATTACATAGTTATTGTTCAAAAAATTTACATTTACAGAAAAGCTTTAACCCATTAAGTGGCAGCACTCTCTCCTTAATGAGCAAAAATTGTCTGACCACATTTGACAGAAAAAATAAAAAAGTAAAGCAAATTGCCACTTAAAGGGTTAATATTCTGTTCAATGTAGAATCTTTACAAGTAAAATATACTGCATGTATTAAATGTATGTAGTGTCACTTCTCAATCAAACATGTCAAGCAAGTCCATTAGTAAAAATTTAGTACAAAACAAGCTGTATACCACAAGTCGGCAACTCCATCCCTTGCATGGTTTGGTAATTCACAAAAATGCTCTCCAGCAAAAGAATAACATTTTCCAAATAGACCATGAAGTTCTTAGAATGCCATTAATGATTACATATAATACCACTTGTTTTGACAACTTGCCTTCTCCTGGGAAGCTTTTGTTAAATCCATATATTAATGAGAATCCCTAGTAAGAAAAAAATATATAAGGTTGATATATAACAGCAGCAAATTATTGATTGATGTTTCTGATGTTACTCTGAGTGTGCATCCACACCGGCCAAGCTGAAAAGTTAGTTTGGACACGGTGGGAATCAAACCTGCGGCCTTTGGGATACTAGTCCAATGCTCTGCCAACTGAGCTACATGGTCAAGTCTGTTCGAGTTGATGATATTTTGGAACTGAGTCTAGTTCCTTCGATATCAGTGTACAGGGGTATTCAATGATACGATTATTTTGTGTGTGTTGGTGTCATGTACTCAGGTGAATATATGATGTTTGTGATGTTATTCCCACCAGTAGCGTAGCCAGCCCGACTATTTGGTCCCGCTATGCAAATATTTTCATGTTCATTGACTGTGAAAACAATAAATTTCTAGAGAAATGAATAATGATAATAATTTTGAATTTGCATAGCGGGATTAAATTGTCGGGCTGGCTACGCCACTGACTCTCACTGAGTGTGCATTCACACTGGGCAAGCTGAAAAGTTAGCTTGGCCGCGGTCACTGGTTCGATTCCCACTGTGGCCAAGCTAACTTTTCAGCTTGCCCAGTGTGGATGCACACTCACAGTAACATCACAAACATCATATATTCACCTGAGTACATAACACCAACACACACAAAATAAAAATTATTGATTGATTGACAATGAATTTGCTATTTTTGGTTGTTTGCATACATACAAAGCAAGAAATACAAAATTCAAATGCTTTTACTCATTTAATGTAAGCATGCAATTGAACTAACATCATCCAAATGAATACAACTTTTCTGGTAAAGGGTGTTTAAAATAGAAGTGCATAATTGACCCAAAATTCATTGTCCCAAAATCTTGCTAATGCCAAGCTAGGAATTTCCATATAAATTATATACAATCACCCACGATTTGGCATGGTATTACCCCTGGGCCCAGCTGGGTAAAAAGATCTCTGTGACTGTTTTTGTCAGTTTATACATTTCGAGACTGTCTGCAAAAGTATGAGTGATTGATCACTTGTTGGTTCACTTTATTGGGAAATGTGCTTGTACTATATAACTCAGTCTGGGTGATTTGTTTTGGCAAGCCTGCCCATCTAAAGAGGCTCATGTAACCAGACATTCATCCAGGGAAAGCGAGCTATAACCAGGTTACCTGGGTGGCTCGCCTCTATATAAGCAGCCCCTTACACATGTTTTAGGCTGACTGATAGCCGATAGGAGGGCTACCATAGCAAGCAGAAGCCATACACTGGGTAATATTAGATGGGCTATTGCAATGCTGTCAAATGTGACTGCATTTCAAACAGATCACATAATAATATATTAATTAAAGTATACATATTTAACACGAAATAAAACATACATGTATATCACACAAATAAAGCCCCGTTTACACGAGCAAATTTTATTTGACAAATTTCATATGTCAGAGATATTTTGCTCGTGTAGATGATAAATTTGTGACAAATTTATTTGAACAACAAATGCTTTTGATGAAATGAAATTTGTCAAATAAAATTTGCTCGTGTAAACGGGGCTAACAACACATATAAGTAGAGACTGCAGATTAGACTTATGGACTTCTGCTAATACAAATTAATCGAAAATTAAAACTGAACGTCTAGATCGGCAAATCGGCGGCGAAGCGACTAAAATACAGGCCTTCGTCTTCGATTTAAAAATATAGCAATACAGTATATCAAGTAACTTTCCGCACACAAATAAGTAAATACACAATAAACATACCTTTGAAAACAAATTCCATGTATCTTATTAGGTCTTTGCAACTTTATAAGTAGAAAATTTGAATAAATATCATTCACATTTGAATGTTTGCTCCCGAAGCATTGAACTTGGCGCTTGGTCTTTGTGTGAACCAGATCGAATTACTACAACACGTGATATATTCTAAACATGCTAATTGGTTGAAAATCTGGAACTTCCACTTGTCGCAAATTATATTCAGCAGAATTCAGCAGCAGAACATTCCACACGCTCCAATTACAGATTTAGGCAGCAAATAAAAAAATATAGATGACTCGCTGACAATTTCTGGCTACATTCGATCGCCGCGTGTGACGGAAGCCGATATACAGTATAATACATCAATGGCATCAATCTGACTTAGCAACATTCGAGTAACCAAAAACGGAAAATTAAAAAAAAAAGAATTTATATCTCGAACTTCGTGCTTTTCGCATCTGACTGTATTCAATACTTTAATAGAGTATAGCCTCCAGCAGAAAAACTCTTGGATTCTCAGGCACATTAATTATATATTGTAATAATTTACTCCAGATCCAGAACAATTTTACTCTTTTTTGGGAGTTGAAACGACCCCTGGAGTAAAATTAAGGAGTACAAATTACTCCATAATTTCTACTCCTAAAAGCGAGTTTAGTTTACTCCTCCAGCGGAGTTAAATTGACTCCTGATGGAGTAAATTGTAGAATGCGCGCAGAAGTGGAGTAGTTTTAACTCTATTTTGGGAGTAGATTTTACTCCACAATTTTTACTCTCCCGAGTTGAGTAGTTTTAACTCCTATGGTGGAGTTAAAATAACTCCTTGAAATTAACAGTGCGTTACTGTTTCGACGTTGAAACAACGTTGAAATTAGGTTGCCAATCTCGTCAACCATAATTCAACGTTGAATCCACGTTAAAACAACGTTGAGAATGGTTCACAAATCGACGTCGTACATTTAACCATGAATGAACGTTAATTCAACGTCTGTTGGCTGCTGTTGAACCAATGTTTGTAAAACAACGTCAGAGCAACGTAGATATTAGGTTGTCGACGTCCCAACCTTTTTTCTACCAAATTTCAACGTTGAAACAACGTCGTGTGCCCGGTGGGTTGTCTAAATTTGAATCCGCTAAAAGTTCTACTATGAAGTCACAATCCAGGATCCGAACTAAATTGCAAGCTAAATCCACAATCCGAGCCAAAATATTAGATAAATCCGCAATCCGCTTTATTAATAAGATCCGCAAATCCGCGTGTAAAATATTCGCCAGATCCGAAATCCGAACAATCTTTTCTGTGAAATCCGACGATCCGAAAACCTCTGAAAAGATGCTTTTAATATCTACTACAAGCCATTTATGCCTGCTTTTAGAATTTCTTGGGCAATTTTATCCATGCGGCCGACTGCACTGCGAGGTAGAAGAGGTGGGGAGGGGTTATTGAACGCTGATCTCGTCAGCAGCTGAAACATGTTAGCAGTTGACATTCGAGTGAAGGAGTTCCAAGTATATTAAAGTCATTAAATATATAACAAAATACACTAACAGCTTCAATTATTTATATACCAACCAACATTTATATCTAACTTTACGTACTGTACCTCTTCTGCATATTTTATCGTTGAGCCCGTTAGAAAAGCGTTGTTGAGAATGTTGTGATGACTCAATGTGACACCTTTAGGGTTTCCAGTTGTGCCCTAGATTAAATGAGAATAAACGTGGACGGAAATTAAGAATACTAGTACAGTAGTAGTTCAATACAAGCATTTCGCTGCAAGTTGGTACGTTGAAAAAACTCAAACTATAAAGACCGGGCCTCGGAATAGATGCTTCCCAAGGTAGCCCCACAACCTTGCCGTTGAGCCATTTTTCGCGAGGTTTTGGTAAGTATATTTGCCGAATTGTGTAGTTATTTGTAAAATGACTAATTTCTATAGTTCACGCGATATTTTTTAATAAATATAGCACCTATATTGTATTGTTAAGCAGAGTGATATATGTATGGCGCAGCTTCAGCGTATGAGTTATTGAAGCAATTTTGTTTATACTGTATATTAGATTCTGCGTCACTGAGGTATATTATGGCTTAGAGTTCTGCAGCCCTGCAGCCCCCTAGAAGTTGTGATCTTCCCCTAAGGCATGAGGGCATGTAGACGAGGCACGAGCTGTACATGTTGTTATGAAGATAGCATTGCATATGAATGCTACAAATATCTATACGTACAGAAGTAAATTGTATATTAATTGGGTCATCAAATTGTAGACGTTGCTGAAGAGCAGTCAATTCTTCCAATTCGCTATGTCCACCAGCACACATCACTTCGCGAAAGGAAAGTGTACCCCTAAGAAAAATATAATGAAGAACTCAGTAGATAGCTCTGGTGTGTAACGATTGTAGCCTGCGAGCAGGTTCTCTTAAGGCTAGTTTCCACTCCGGAAAATTATCCGTGGATTGGAATGGACAAGAAAATGTTTCTTTGTCTTGTGAGCTCTGGGTTGGAACTAATGACTTTAACACAAAGAAACATTTTCTTGCCCGTTCCAATCCACGGATAATTTTCCTGAGTGGAAACTAGCCTTTAGTCCATGGAAAGAGAGCATGCATTGACGGGATACAGTTTCGAATATCCGCCCCTAAAATCGTATCATGAAATCAACCAATCAGGAAACACCAGTCCTTCAGTATTATATTCCACAGTCAAATGGCTTATCGGATAATCCACACGTATGCAAAGTGGGAAAACTTATCCATATACTATCTATATACGGAATAACGTATTAACCACGTAATAATGGTAAAAATGGGCGTGAACGAAGGTTCCACGTGGAGTGTTTCCAAACCTTGATAGTCATATTTTGAGTTTATGCACGTTGTGAGGAGTCACTGACTCATTCCGTGAAATTTATAGTCGGTCAAAGAAAACTATACATCTCACTTAACGTTTGTGCAATATTTAAAAAAGTACACGATTTCGTATTGTCAGGAAATGTCTGGTTGACAATTAAAATCATGAAGCTTTTAAGATTGCTACATATGATAAAAACCAAAGATAAGTTTGGATGAATGTCTAATGTGTTAAACCATGATTGAATATTTTCAAAACAATACGCCTGGAACAGATTTTGAGTTTGTATACTGTATACAGTGTTTCTATGCCTTTGAATAACGTGTGAGATTGAGTGAGATTTTTGGGTGATAAATCATGACCGGTTATGTTTCATGTTCTATTTAAAAAACGAGCAGGAGTGTTTTATTAGGTTTAAAGCCACGAGCGCGCAGCGCGAGTGGCTTTAGACCTAATAAAACACGACCCGCGAGTTTTTTAAATGGCTTCAAAAACGTTTGCATAATAAGGCAAATCTTTATATAAAAACCTTTATATAAAAATCTTTATATAGAAATCTTTATATAAAAATCTTTATATATAGTTTGCATAACAAAGGTCTTTTGTTAAAGTGTTCTTTAGCTGGTATAAAGACGTATGCACGTGACTAATTTCTTACTCAAGATTGGATAATTGCTTCATGAATTATTAATGAGTTTTTGAAAGTATGTTTCCATACAGTCTCTATTTTTAACCCTAAAGAGCCTGCTCGTTTGAGTCGCCTAGAAATCAACAACTTTTATGAAGTATCGCTTGTATATACTATACCGAAATTTTTCGTCTCCAATCGTAATTACGTGTTGAAGCATTGGTACACTAAAAACAAAATAATGATAATAAATACTTCATCTCTTCCAGAGCAGTTGCAAAAACTTAAAACATTCAGATCATTGATTTGGAAGCAATCCACTAATATTAGTAGCATATACTGTAATATATAATTATCAATGAGTACAGTATGTATGTATATATATATATATATACTATACTATACTATACTATACATTTTTGAGATCAGTGTATGTTATGCTCTATATATGCATTGGACTATGGTGTAATTCCTCATTTAGTTCACTACACTTAGGTAAGGAAGTAAGTACAGTAAGTGGGGTGTTCATCATCCTTACTTGCAGCTGAAAGCTCAGTTGAATTGTGAAGGGACGAATCTCAATAGACCTTTCCGGTAATTACGTCACAACTACATTGTTTTCAACTTAGGACTATCTATTAGACTGATGAAGCCTGCCTAAGAACGTCTCTAGCAGCCACCTTATGACTCATGTCTGATAATGGAGCACAGCTACGGTAGAACCGGAGTCGGTTGGCTAACCTCAACCCACCCTGTCAACATTCAGCATATAGAGCGTTGGATGACTCTTCTATCATGAATGTCTTGAGTCATCGGAAAAACGTAAAGGTGACTAAAAGTTAAAAATATTGAACTTGTAGATATAATATGGGGTGCGTGCGACCAATACCCAGGAATTTAAAGGACAAAGAGATTTTCAGCATCTGGGATAGAAGTTAGAAATGCAAACAAAGAAATCTAACTTATTTACGAATCAAGTAAAGGTTGAACGTACTGATTGCTATGAAGCCATCCTGGTCTTGAATCCTGTAACTCTGGTGCGATTTCACATAACATTCCATAGTAATCTGACGTCTTGTGACTTACGGCAGATACTAGTGCTTTGCAACCAACCTGCATACATACAGTACGTAAATTGAGTAAATAGGGAGAGGAATGGGTTTGATGCATAACCAGAGGCTTGACCACATCCCCCATTCTCATTATTCTATAAGGCTCTCTTTCTCCCAAGCTCTCTTTCTCCCAGGCTCTCTTTCTCCCAGGCTCTCTTTCTCCCAGGCTCTCTTTCTCCCAGGCTCTCTTTCTCCCAGGCTCTCTTTCTCCCAGGCTCTCTTTCTCCCAGCTCTCTTTCTCCCAAGCTCTCTTTCTCCCAGGCTCTCTTTCTCCCAGGCTCTCTTTCTCCCAAGCTCTCTTTCTCCCAAGCTCTCTTTCTCCCAGGCTCTCTTTCTCCCGAGCTCTCTTTCTCCCATGCTCTCTTTCTCCCAGGTTCTCTTTCTCCCAGGCTCTCTTTCTCCCAGGCTCTCTTTTTCCCAAGCTCTCTTTCTTCCAGGCTCTCTTTCTCCCAAGTTCTCTTTCTCCCAGGCTCTCTTTCTCCCAGGCTCTCTTTCTCCCAGGCTCTCTTTCTCCCAGGCTCTCTTTCTCCCAGGCTCTCTTTCTCCCAGGCTCTCTTTCTCCCATGCTCTCTTTCTCCCAGGCTCTCTTTCTCTCTCTTTCTCCCAAGCTCTCTTTCTCCCAAGCTCTCTTTCTCCCAAGCTCTCTTTCTCCCAAGCCTCTTTCTCCCAGGCTCTCTTTCTTCCCAGGCTCTCTTTCTCCCAGTCTCTCTTTCTCCCAGGATCTCTTTCTCCCAGGCTCTCTTTCTCCCAAGCTCTCTTTCTCCCAAGTTCTCTTTCTCCCAGGCTCTCTTTCTCCCAGGCTCTCTTTCTCCCAGGCTCTCTTTTTTCCAGGCTCTCTTTCTCCCAGGCTCTCTTTCTCCCAGGCTCTCTTTCTCCCAGGCTCTCTTTTCCCAGGCTCTCTTTCTCCCAGGCTATCTTTCTCCCAAGCTCTCTTTCTCCCAAGTTCTCTTTCTCCCAGGCTCTCTTTCTCCCAGGCTCTCTTTCTCCCAAGCTCTCTTTCTCCCAAGTTCTCTTTCTCCCAGGCTCTCTTTCTCCCAGGCTCTTTTTCTCCCAGGCTCTCTTTCTCCCAGGCTCTCTTTCTCCCAAGCTCTCTTTCTCCCGAGCTCTCTTTCTCCCATGCTCTCTTTCTCCCAGGCTCTCTTTCTCCCAGGCTCTCTTTCTTCCCAAGCTCTCTTTCTTCCAGGCTCTCTTTCTCCCAGGCTCTCTTTCTCCCAGGCTCTCTTTCTCCCAGGCTCTCTTTCTCCCAGGCTCTCTTTCTCCCAGGCTCTCTTTCTCCCAGGCTCTCTTTCTCCCAGGCTCTCTTTCTCCCAGGCTCTCTTTCTCCCAGGTTCTCTTTCTCCCAGGCTCTCTTTTTCTCTCTTTCTCCCAGGCTCTCTTTCTCCCAGGCTCTCTTTCTCCCAGGCTCTCTTTCTCCCAGGCTCTCTTTCTCCCAGGCTCACTTTCTCCCAGGCTCTCTTTTTCCCAAGCTCTCTTTCTCCCAGGCTCTCTTTCTTCCAGGCTCTCTTTCTCCCAGGCTCTCTTTCTCCCAGGCTCTCTTTCTCCCTGACTCTCTTTCTCCGTCTCTTTTCTATTTAATTTTTTTTTTCTTCCTTGGACACTGCTAGCTTCAGAACGACAAGGACTAGGTTATACAAATACCTAGAAATAACTAGAAATTAAAAGTATCCGCATGGGTCAATTTTACACAGTGATTGTCTAAATCCCATCTGTTGCATCACAATTGTATACTCGGCCGCAGATTGCATTACCTTTTTCAGTGCATAATGAGCTTCAGCGACTCGATAAGCTGGATTAATGTTAACCTAAAGAACGAAATATATAACAGCAAGTGATGAAACAAAATGTGAAAGATAGGCCATTGAAAAAAATATGTCGATTTGATTTTAATTTATTTAGTAACTTTACTTCATAATATCAAAAAATATATTCAAGGCGTACCAGAATTAATCCAGCCTTCGCCGTGGCAAATTGCGTCAAAATCCATTCCTCAACATTCGGACCCCAAATACCAACTCGATCACCTTTCTTGAGGCCAAGAGTTAGAAATCCTGCGGCAAGTTTATCTGCCTGAGAATATAGTAAAAATATCAAAAGAATGCATGGGCCAGTTTATCGCTTCTTGGTCTTGCTTCCTTATTTAGTCCTAATCGGAAGAAAATCTTCCGAATCGGAAGAAAAATGTAACTGAAATTTGCTTTGTGAATCTTATGTCATGTCTTTTATCTTCAAATGATTCAATGTATTTTAAAAAATGCTAAACATTGTGTTGTTAACATCGGATGTATTTTAGAGAAAAGGTAATTTGGCTGGGGGGCAAAATGGTTGAGTGGGGGAGGGGCACCATGGGGACTGGGGACTTTACCCCCCCAGTTATATAGTTTAAAAAGGCCATGAAATGTGGGTGCATATGTCATTTTACTGTGTTTGATCAAATGAATATTCATGAAAAATTCTCAATTCTGATTTGCTGAGATTAATGCAATTTTATTTGGTTTTGTGCAAAGTGATTTTGATAGAAAAAATCTTTACCCAAAATATCACAAAAAAATGAGGAAATCCATTGCGTCACTAAATCCATAGTATATCCATACTACAGTCCCATACTATATTCATAGTATGGAAATTACAATTAGTATGAAAATAAATTGGATTTCCATACTAATTCCAGCGAAGATCCATACATTTCCATAGTAAGGATTTTGAAAAGAAATTTCCGGTGTATATCTTATTATGCTAAAACAAATTTCCTATTTCATAAGAAAAAGACACACATTTCCGGCACACCTGCACTGTGGCTCTTATAACGTTACCTTAATTTTGAGCTCCGCAAATGTGGCTCTCCTACCACTTTCACAAAATACGTACGCTTCACGATCTGGGTATTTCTCAGCTGTGCTGTCTACCACTTGCCCAATTGTTGAACCCAGAAATGGTTTGGCGGGTAAACCATAGAAATAGCTCAGTTTGTCTGATGGACTGTGGCTTGTTAATGGTTGGACTGCACAATAAAACCTGAAGTGAGAAAAATGTACGATGTTTGAGCCAACTACAAGAGAAACCTCGACTACATACGAGTAATTTCTCACAAGTACATTGGACAAACGTCTAAGAAGATTCAGACAGACACGACCATAATGTATTTCCAGCTAAGCGCGCAGGCGACAACGGGCACAAATTTGACTGGTCTCAAACAAGTGATAACTAGAACAAAACATGCCCGTGAGTTTAATTAAGGCAGCGTGGCCTAATATAGATAAACTAACATTTAACCGTCATATTGACATTATAGTTACAACTAAAGTGCTCGCATAAAACTCCTAATTTCATCTTTATTAACCTTTAACCCACACGCAACTTCCATCTCAACATCAGTTCGCGATGTAATAATCACCCGTGTTCCATGGCAATCAATGCACCGAAATCCGTCAACCAATCAGATGTTCCCGAACACTTCAACAACGTGAACAACAGCGCGAAAATTCAAATATTCAATCTTTCTGATGAAGACTCGAAGAACCGAGTCGAAAGCTCAAAATATTAAAATATTATTATAATCTGGAAAACACTATATATAATTTGTATTTAATTATAAAATTATACAATTTACAAATATAATGCCTGCATTACAAATCTTCAACTCTGCAAAATGTTGTCCTCCAAAAATCTCCGCAAACCTTACTCATAAAACATTGAGCGCACAAGGTATGATGGGTATTGCTTATTTGGAGTCTAAAGATTGGACATCAGCTTTAATAGTGAACTAAATCACAGATGATAGATTGTACCAGATGTCTCACTCAGCAAAAATTGTGTCCGTGACCAGCGACTTTACGCTCAATGGAGCGTCTTGTTGTGAAATGGGGTTAGGATAAAACGCGGATGCGGACGAACGGATCCGCGTTTTACCTTTTGCATAAATCGCGGATATGACTGTTAAATGGACGTTTAATTTAACAAGAAGACAAGTTATCCGTCCGTCCGTCCACCATCCGTCCGTATCCGCGTCTTATCCTGACCTTATGAAATGTATATTCATTTGTTAACACCAATATTTCTGCCGCCCCCCGCTCAAAGAGAACTTACTTCATCTCAATACCAAGCCCCCAATCGTAAAATCGCTGCGTGTTCCATGTGTTTTAGTGTAGTGACTGTATTCAGTATGTGTACACTGTAGATATTAATATAGTTTCGTATAATGTAACACATACTCACCGTTTGGACGAGATATTAACATGCCAGTACCATTTTGCCACATTTACAATATTTCTGTTTGTACCAAATAAACTTCTCAGCAGATAATACATCAGTATGAGGGTACTTTTATTCACGTTACGTTTTAGCTGTATTAAATAGCTAGGCCTAGGTGATTATTGTGGAATACAATCTCTTGGAATGTATTGTCTACAAGATGTCCGATATTTATAATATCGACAATCTGGAGGTGTCCGGTTGCAATTTTCAATGATCCATTTATATTAAATTATTTTCAAAATTCACCCTCATGTAAAGACTCCAAATGCGCGAGAGCGTCCCTACTATAGATGGTATAGAGTATGTGTATAATATATATGTAATATGAACTATGTAGCATCACCACAGGTCCACAATACTGTATCAACAGTACGCGAATATAACTGGAATGCTACCTTCAGTAAACGAACGGTCTGGCAATTAACAGAGAGGTTAAGATACCCCGGTTTCGGTGTACGGGTACGAGTAGTGTCATCTTGTTTTACTGATGTCTGTAATTCGATCATACTCTTTCTGTTTTCTTGCAATAGACAATGATATAATGCGAAAAATGTGCACCTTAATTACGACTAAAGGTACAGACATCGACGAAAATATTGCTAACCAAGATCATGCTACCCGTACACGTACACTGAAACCGGGCTTTCGTCGGTAGGGATGCATCTATCGACGTGCGTCCGCGCTACATTCGACCTCAAATTTCGTCTATACTTCGTGTAGACTTAATTCGCGTTTGTTGAATGTGTTTGGAAGATTTATTCATTTGCATCATGGAAATAGTATGGATTTAGTGATGCAATCGCAAATTCCACATATATATAGTATGAATTTCACCATTTTTTCCCAGTATATATTGACCGGGTGGCGCAAAAAAATGTTCCCCCTCTTTGACTTATTGTAATTAAAAAACTAAAGAAGCCCAGTTTTATTCAAATAAAGTTTATTGAACGCAGTGATGCCTAACTTAAATAGTTTGATATATGCCTTAAACATTTCTATAAAATAGCCTATTAGCCGAGATATAGGCGTTTAAACTCAAGGTAGCATTTTTGGAAGAAGCGAAAAAAGGCCATTTTATTACCGTGTGAACCATGATGCAAATGAATAGAACATTTTAGACCATTTTTCGCTTCCAGTTCTTCCAAAAACGCTACCTTGACTGTAAACGCCTATATCTCGCCCCGGCTAATATTTTATAGAAATGTTTAAGGCATACATCACTATAACTATTTAAGTTAGGCATCACTGCGTTCGATAAAGTTTATTTAAAATAAAATGGCTTCTTTAGTTTTTTAATTACCGCAATAAGTCAGATCGATCTAGAGGGGGAACATTTTGCATTTTTTTGCGCCACACGGTCAAAATATGCTGCAAAAAAATGGTGAAATGGACGACTTGCGCTTTAGACTAAATTTTAATCTAAGTAAGAACAACGAAATCTATCACCACAGCTAGAAAGAGCGTCTTGGAATTAGTAATATTACAAAGTTTGGTTGCGAAATAGTGTAAAATACGGAAAATATAGCCCTTCAAAGTTGGCAAATTTGTATACTTTTGTATTTCGTGCGTATTTTCCGTACTTTACAACATTTTGCAACCAAACTTTGCAGTTTTTCTAATTTTGATAACTTCTTTCCGAAAATATCCTTTGTTATTCCCAGATTAAAAATTTTTCTAAAGCGCAAGTCGTCCATTCATACTATGCCTATGGAATTTGCGATTGCATCACTAAATCCATACTATTTCCATACCATATCCATAGGCATAGCATATGGAAATTGCAATTAGTATGAAAATTGGATTTCCCGACTATTAATTTCAACTAAAGATCCATACTATTTCCATGGAGAGGATTTAAAAAAAAATTCCAGTGATTCACCGAGAAAACACTGCAGGCGGTTACGGACGAAGGAGAAACTGAAATACGACGGTTTGCGGAACGACCTACCCCCTTTGATAGACCCCCTTATGATAACCACTGCACGGCAAATAAATTACCTGATTAATATACTAAACTACACAGTATACCTGACAAATAACCCACCAAAAACAAGTTTTAACAAGAGTCCATTAACAAATTGACCAACAAACTCGAAATACTATATGCATGTCTATGCTCAGAGAACATAGTCAATAACGACGTAATTTTTGTTTAGATTAATAATATCTGCTGAAATGTTATTGGATTCCTCATGCACGACGGTGCAATTATACTGAGATAATAGTACCCCAAAATTACATTGTGTCAATACACATGATATACAACGGTGACAACTATAAGTTACAGACACATATCTACATATCCACATATCTACATACAAATTTAGCTTAAATCTGTATGATGAAAGACAATGAAAATAACTACCTGTTTTCGGTTCAAACATAATCGAGATATGATCTGGAAGCTCACCAAACTGAAAGTTTCTCATGCAGTATGACGACTTCACCGTGCTAGCTCAAATAGTTTGAACGTTTTGCTTAATATTTCAACAGTGCGGTTGCATTAGTTATATGACGAGATTGCGCCATTGGATGGTCCAATTATGCTAAAAATACACTCTCTTCACTGTGCACAAGTTGGCACAAAGATGGGAAAATTAGAAAGATATAGTCATAATTAACTCAGAACAAAGTGACTTTCGAAGAGCTTCTGGACCATGTCTTGATTGCCTATATGATTGAAATTATGTTGAATATTTTCTTGTTAAAAATGAACACTTCAGTATACGCTTCTTGAAGCTTCTTGAACAAGACAAAAGAAACAAAGACCTTTATATAGATTTAGTCCGAGGACAACACGAATTAAGCCATGAAACATGTGTCCATCATAAACCTTCCAGAAAATACTTGAGCAGAAAGTGTAATTATAATTATCATTGGACTAAGAAATGTTTAGTTATTCGGAGTTTTCCAATTGGAATCTTTCATTAATCTTGGGAGTATATTTTGTTGTTTAGAGGAACGACATATAAATACAAATATATAGTATAATATTATTAACGTATAATATTAACCACGTCTACTTCACAATCATATATAAATATTTGGCATGCAGTTTTACGGTATAATAGCGGACTGAAATAGCCTCAAGAGGTTGTGTATCTTACAGTTGAAGGCTGGCAATAGTTATTAGCATACATTACGACATTAAAGGTCCAAAGAACACCTTTGAAATTTCTGTTTCTTCAACCCCATAGACAAAATCGAAACCAGCAGCCATGAACTCCTCGCGACTAATTTCGCCATTCCTGTCCGAATCAATCATGTTAAAGGTGTGAGTCACATCAGCATCAGAAAGATCGGGTGCAATTATTCGAAAATACACCTTGAATTCCTCTAGGGAGATGGAGCCATCGTTATTGAGATCTAAGGCTTCAAAGATTGGATAAAATGTTTTTATGCTGGCCAGCTGTTGATCGTGTGTCATGGAAAGGAATCCTTTGCTTGCTTTTTGAGCTGCTTCTTCTGCAGGGATCTTTACTCCAGGTTTAAGACCCATCCTATCGGCAACAGATGTGATTGCATTACGTGTCCGTTCGGCTTTCTCTTCGTCCAGTTTACCATATTCTTGCAATTTTGTGGCCATGAGCTCGTAGTCCTCGCGAGATATGAAACCATCCTGATTCAGATCTAACCTGTTAAATCGAGTTCGCATTTTCTGCAAGTGAAATTCTCGCTGTTTATCCGTTAAATTCGACATCGTCTACATGAAATATATAAACTATATATACTTAGTTAAAATTTGCAACTGGTTACATACAGCTATGACAAGCAGGGCCTTTTTTAAGGATTTTCCTGGGGGGGGGGGCATTTTTTGAAAAGAGACCTTTTATGTGAGATAATATATTAGAGGGGCATAGGCAATGGCTGAAGGCCATCTGTGTGGCCGACATATCATGCATGTATAGGGGGATGTATAGGGGGGTCTGGGGGCAACTTCCGCAGAAAATTTTTGAAATTTGAAACCCGGAAATGGCAAAACTCTGATTTCGTGGGGGGCACATGGGGGCGATGCTGGGGGCATCCCCCACCCGCTTGCATGTTAAAAAAGGCCCTGATGGCAAGCTTAGTCTGTGATAACTCATGCGGCTATATATCTTCAATATAAAGAATCAGGGAAACGGGGGAATCGGGGAACCCGGAATAGGGATGCGGGGAAATCGGGGAACTGGGAATGGGGATCCGGGGAATACAGCAAATATGGCGTGGAGCAAACAGGTGGTGGGAATGGTGGGAAGTAAAAGCAGACAGGAAGTACGAGAAACCGGCCGGGAGGGGAAACGGGTTATGGAGAAAACAGTGAGTAAGAGAAGTGGGGAATCATTAAGTGGATTAGTGGAAGAATTTATTCCTAAGGCAACTAGGAGTGGGAGAACTGCAGAAAGTAGGATGGTGAAGACAAGGACGAGAATGAAATGTGGGAATAGGCTAATCGAAGATACTGAGGGAGAAGTGGGGAACAGAGAAGGATATACTGGGGTATGCTACGCAAATTATGGTATGGGGATTAGAGATATTGGGAAACATGTGGTCGGAATTGGGAGGAAGGAACTGGGGGAAAGTGAATTAGGAATCGGGGAAACGTGGAATAAAAAATAAGACTGAAAAATGGAAAATTAGTATTTGCCAATTCTTAATATCAATTAATTAATTAATCAACCAACATATTGTTCTAACTGTAAGTGTATACATTCCCAAATACAACTTTTAATAGATGTCACATGATGCTGGATACTATTTGCCTCTTCATTCATATTATTGTAGTTAATTTTTTAAAGAAATATGGTTGTAACAGATTATCGGTATTCTTTGGGATGGACTAATAGGCAAACTGAGGGAATTGGTGCTAGGGGAGTGAGAACCAGGATGACAGTGGAACTAACGGAAACGTTAAATAATAAGAATGATGTCATTCTTAAATTAATTTTGGTCAAGACGATACTAATTTTCTAGCCCTGATGAGGAGATGAATAAGATATATTGATTGGCACTAAGAACATTTTACTTTTGACATTTGTTATTTTTTCTGAAGGGAAGTGTAGGTCCTTTGCTCGAAACGTCGACGTTTTGCTTGTATTTTTCAGGTAGTTTAATATCACTCAATCCGCAGCTTTCTGCTGTTATTAGAGACCTAAAGATTGACGTTTACGGCAGACCGCAAACTTCAAATCACGTTATTTTTTTTTTTTATTTAATAAATTTGCCCAAATATATAATAACTATTTACAATAATAATTACTAATATTATATTACAGAGGGCTAGAGGCCATTGGAAACCTGTATAGGCTTTTAATCATGACCCCTAGTTTTATCTACTTAGTTATAGATGGATAGCATTAAGAAAGTTTGTTAACCAACTAATTATAATGATAAGGACAGGATGGGTTATTGATTAACAAGCTTTTTAAAAAATAAACTAAAAATAACATATTTGATGTCAGACGATATAGATTTACAGAAATCTGTATTGAAAAACATACAATAATTAAGATTTAAAGTTTGTATAATATATAATGACCATGCATTGTAAGCAGTAAAGAATAAGGCTATATTTACAATTACGACAATTTTTAGTTAGAGTATAGTAGGTACTTCAGTTTTAGTTTTCTTTTTGAAGTTATTTGAAGGGAACTGTTAGGGGAACTTGTGTACTAAAATTGGAGAATGAATTTCGAAAATACGATTTGAAGTTTGCCGTTTGCGGTTTGTACATGCACTAAAATTGGAGCATGAATTAGCTACTTTTAAGGTCCAGACACAGTCGGACGTGATTCGACAACGCGACGCGATTTTTTGGTTTTTGAAAGTTAATAAAAGAGCCAATAACAGCAAATTTTAAAAGATATGTAGACCAAATAACTCAAAATGTTGTAACGGTTCTAAATATTTGGAAAATTTAAACTAAGGATCAAAGTTATCGGTCAGTGAAAATCGAAAAATCGCATCGCGTCTGGTGTGTCTGGACCTTTAGCTGTCGAAACTGCGAAAATGCGATTTGAAGTTTGCACATGCAGACCGTTCGTGTCCAATTTTAAGTAATTGGCGAACGGTATATACTTCGTGTGACCCCTATTATAATGTATCAAAGCTGATCCCTGACCCCCACCCTAACCCCGCCCCTAACCTCTAACCCCGAGTGGCAAAATGAGCTCTAATTATTACGGTGCAAATGAAGGGTCAAATGAAGTATCTACCAACCTTTATGTACAGTAAACGCGGGCTCATGCAAGCGGTCTTCTCGTGTAGGCCGTCTCCTCGTGCTGGTCTCAGTCGTGCTCAAATCCTGCTCACGATAATGGACGACGAAGTCAGTGAAACAAAGTCAATTTCTTACAGAAGAAAAAGAATTGAGGCGAACGAACGTTCATGGGAGTGGAATAAATTCCATTCTTTGGGGCAAATAACACTAATCTCAAAACTAGAACCAATCTCATCAGTACCCAGCCTACCCAGAGTATGCCCGAGATTGAACTAGAACTGGATAGAGCAGTATGCCCAGTATTTATAATGATTAGAGAATTATAATGGTTAGAAAATTTGAAATATGTCAACTTCTATACGAATCAAGTGGGTGGGTGTTAAATTCACTTCAAAACAGTGCCTCTTTCCCAATGGACCTATTCCCTAATGAACAAAATTTTGATCTAGACAAGTCTAGACCGCTTTCTGATAAAAGGTATCAATTTCCCGTGCGTAATACAAAATGACTGAAAAACGGCAAACTTCGCATGGCTATATTATCCGCATTTTACAACATTTCGCAACGAAACTTCGGAATATTACTAATTTTGTGATGCTCTTTCAAGCTGTGATGAAATTTTCGTTTAGACTTGTCTAGATCAAAATTTTGTTCATTAGGGAATAGGTTCATTCCGTATATATGAACTTGATAAATGCAATTAAAACTATTTAAAAAATGGCAATAACAATTTCCGTATAATGACTGCAGGGACGCCGGAACGATGTGAAGACAAGGGGGGCAGATTTTCGCCAAAGGGCACTTTTGAATTGATATGGCTAAGAGATGTTTGCGAAACACGGGGAGTTGAACTTCGCCTTACCATGTTTTCTATTTATTGGATGATAGGGGTGTGAGGGGGTTCTCCGCCAGGCGATTGTGCTATTCTTGAAGCTCGATGACTGCATTTCTTGCGTTTTCTGAAGCAAATTCGTAAAAGAATTGCACTAACATTTCTGACAATTCGCTATTTCGCCAAGGCAATCCTTTAAATTGAAAGGGCACCTTTGCCCCCCTTGCCCCTCCTGGTAAAGGGCAACGGGGGCGCTGCCCCTTCTCCCCCCCCCCCAGTTCCGGCGTCCCTGATAATGAGTATGAGCTAAGCTCCCCTACAAGGAATCCCCTAGGCCCTACAAAATGCAACGAATAAATACTGGAGGCTATTTATAATCCAACCTCGTTCCCAGGCTCTTTCCGAAAGAACCTGGGAACGAGGTTGTTTATAATCCCCCCAATTTCGTATCCCAGAGCCTCGCGTTCCTTCCCGAGGATCGCAGGCTCGGGGAACGAGATTGATAATCCCCTAAACGACCAATCTCGTTCCCCGAGCCTGCGATCCTCGGGAAGGAATCTTAGGAATGTGAGGCTCCGGGATAACCCGTTGTAGGAAGCCAGGAATCAAGGCTAAGATTGAACTGCGCATTCCATATCAACGGCCAATCAGATTCCTCCCTGCAACGGATTATCCCAGAGCCTTGCGTTCCTTCCCGAGGATCACAGGCTCGGGGAACGAGATTGCCTTACACGGGTAAAAATTGAGAAAATCAACAACTTGTTCCAGGTTGATATGAACAGGCGTGAACAAGGTTATGCGGCCCGCCCACTATGAACAGCATTGTCAACATGTTGTTACAGCATTGTTCAACTGTAACAACTTGGAACAACATGGTTGACAACTTGTCCATAGTTGGCCGCACAACATTGTTCATTTGTTCACGCATGTCGTCAGATGTCGATTTGCGTTTTTAACGATTTAACAGTTTCGCTCAGCGGGTTTTGCTCGTACCCGAGGTAGTACTTCATATTACATAACTCCTAGTTGATCAAATTCAAATGTGTTCCGATTTTGTTCCGATTTTGTTCCGATGTATTCTGTCACGCGGGAGATTCTTTGAATTTTATATCAAATATTCATACTGTTGATTTGCTGAACATGTGCAATAAACTTTAGATCGAAAATCTCAGATTTACAACTTATGTCCACAAATATATACAATGGCATTGGGAAACGATGTTGAAGATGTTGCTGGTTTGTTAGAGAAAACTACAGTGAAGCAACTCAATATTGTCAGCTTGCCTGACAAGGGACGGAAATTGAACACGGCTGAAGATGGTGGGTATATCAATAGTTTCATTATTTGGTGATCATGTTGATATAAATATATAAAATAATGTAAAATTTATATAGTATTTATGAAAAGTCAAAACATTTTGTTAAATTGGCAAATTGCCTTTTTTGTACCTTTTATACTTATAAAGTATCCAATTCACAGAGCCATCACAGGGGGAATGTGAAACTGCATTTGTCAACAAAAAAGTAGACTGAATATTATATATGATTCATGTTTCCCAGATGATGGCTCTGAAATGTGTGTTGTGCATCCTAACTGGAATCAAGGCATGTTTTGCCACTGATACGTGGTGTACAGTGAGATCGAGTCATGTCTCTTTAGATTTGTAATAACAATACGACGAATAGTATTATGTCTATTATAGCAATCTAATAAAGGTTATTACATGTCTTAAAACAGTCGAAAACAACCAAACTAGAATCAAACATGCTCTCCATTTTGTCTGTTACTGCGCATGTCTGCTACAGTAGCCCATACCTTACAGATTAAAGAGTAAGGGGTCGATGGCCGTCGACAAATAGGTTTCGTCACGCTTAACAGCAAGTTGGCTGTTAATGTCGCAACCCCCTTCCCTCCTCCCCCTTAGCGGCAATCCCTGAATAATGGAAAACCCTCAATCTGGATATATATTCTTAATATATACAAAAAAGAACCATTGGCACAGGGTTCGAATTAAATATTTAAAAGTGAATAGCGAATTTCTACCCATTGACTAATGCAATAAAAAGTGAATAGCGAATTTCTACTAAGTGATTACTGTGTTCATATACAGTAGAAAAGGATTAAATAATTCCAATTTCCAATTATCACCCGTAAAAATTCGTGCAATATCTGAAAGAGTTAATGGGTGATTCCAGCTATACACTAAATTTCGATCAAGGCAAGAAGAACGAAATCCAACACCACAGCTAGAAAGAGCGTCTTAGAATGAGTAAAACTGCAAAGATTGGTTGCTAAATGGTGTAAAATGAAGAAAATATAGCCCTGTGAAGTTCGCAAATTTTGTATATATTTGTATTACGCGCGGTGAAAATAACCACTTTCGCCTCAAAAATGGTTATTTTTCCCACACGTAATGCAAATATATACAAAATTTGCGAACTTTACAGGGCTATATTTTCCTTATTTTACAACAATTCGCGACCAAACTTTGCAATTTTACTCATCCTAAGATGCGTGTTCCAGCTATGGTAATGGTTTTGTTCTTCTTGTCTAGATCAAAATTTCATTAGGAAAAGCAACAGAATTCTATTGTCTATTCAGAATTATCAGCGCAAATAAGAGAATGTTTTGCCTCAAAAAACACGAAGAATTGTTTGAAAACAAACGTTTCCAATGTTATTTGTTTTACTTTTTCACATATGAAATCTTCTCAGGTTGAATAGTGAAATCCCCAGAACGGATAGCGAATCGCGATTCTCTATCTGTTAATTCGAACCCTGCATTGGCAACCTTGGGAAATAAACAATGTTTTGTACACAGTTCAATGTATGCTGAAACCACTTTTTAACTTGTAGTCAAATCGAACTTGTCCTATTAAATGCCTGTGGAATTGGTTGATTTTAGTAAAATTTGCAAAGAATTTCGTCAATAAATTTTAAGGTGAATTTTCATCACATAAAAATAATTTTAACAGCATTGATCACGACCACCTCCCCTTTTAACAGCTAACTTACCGTTAAGCATGACGAAACCTATTTGTCGACAGCCCCTAAGAAAGTGATTTGGTGATTTTCTAATGTTACTCAGATTGACTTTTTCAAATATGGCATATCTTTTGAAACTTTTATTAGTATAAATAATGCACAATTGTAAGAAAAATGTTCATCAGAAACCTGATATTTACCTTTTTCAGAACCATCCTCAGAGATACAAAAAACTAGTTTATGAACTTGCAGCAGAATATGTCAATAATTTAACATGTAAAATTTCTTTAACTTTGCCACTTTGATGACTTTGCTCAGCAGCTCCTGATTGACCTAGCTAGGACCCCGGCTTGAGCCGTGTGGTGCCCACAGGAGTTATACTACTGATTGTCATAGGGAACAATTTACCTCCAGTGTGAGTCAACCTTGTTTGAGAAAGGGAGAACCTGGGAACGAGATTGAGTTTGGGTCCTCTTGCAATCTCGAACCCATTCTCGTACTCAGAGCCCTTCTTACGCGCGGTCAGTGACGAGGGGCTCTGGCATAATCCAAACTGGATACCATAAAAACAAGCTAAAGACAGGTTAAACACTGCGCATGCTCAACTCTTATTGTTTAAGTCTGGATACCATGTTTTTATGGTATCCGGTTTGGATTTTGCCAGAGCCCCTCATTGCTGACCACACGTAAGAAGGGCTATCGGTACGAGAATGTTGCAAACCCTAAGTCTGCAATCCTTTATGGAGGCTTGCTGAGGCTCTGGGAAACACCAGCGAATTTGCACGCCACGATATCAGACTATCAGTACATTTGGATCCAGTACCCTGCTCAACATTTATAAAATAATAAACATAATTACTGCCGCCAAACATGAATTATGCTGAACATTGTTCAAGCTTATGACTTTAATTTTTCAAAGAACACTTGCTAGGGTTTTGAAATGTTGTAAGATATGATGTTGGTGATTTATTTAACTTGTGTAATTATGGTAAATCATGGATTGTTGTGTTGCTATAGCCTTGAGAGTAATGCCTATATTGATATTAATAAATATTACAAGCAATGGCTAAATTAAGTTGGATCTACTAGATATAATTTTATCATGACCTTATGTGGCAATGCTGCACTGTAAGTTGTTATTCTACAGTTTTGTTTTTTGCATATTAATATCAGAATGGTCTATTGATTTCTCATTTTATATGAAAAGTGAAGGAAATTAAAGTTAATATTACTTACTAAAGTTATGCTGTGTGTTTCATTGATATGTTAAGCATAATACACAAAGATAAATAAACTTTATATTAAACTATATTTGAATCACTAAGTAGGCTCACAGTTTGAATAATAATTAGCACAGAATCAGTGTAAAATAAATGGGTACGAACATTTAACAGACAACCAATCAAAGCCTGATTTTCGCTTGTGTTTCTCAGAGCCTCAGCAAGCCTGCATAGATGATATTACAGGCTCAAGGTTCAAGATTTGGTCCTCTTGCAGTGATGTAAATTTTTTTGTCCTGTTCTGTTCAATGTATTTACTTTACTATAATATTATGAAATTTCAGATTTTACATTTGTGAGCAAGTATAAACTTTAAGTTAATTAGCCTTTATCAAGCCGCCATTTCTGGGGTACTGTAATTTTTTGTAAACGATTTATATAACAGTGTGAAAAGCAATATTTCAGAACAAACTAACTATTTACAGAGTAAATTTACCATCATACACCCACAAAATTATAAAATGTCGCTGTTACGTGGTGTTAGGCTCGCAGAATTGGCAAAAAGTTACCCCGAAAATGGCGGCGTGAAAAAGGCTAATTGATTATTCACTCTGTTGTGTGGTAGCTACATAGAACACTTGATTTCTCGTTCTTATAAACTGTATATACTGGATAAGTGACATCACATGCAAGGATCTGCATGTGTTCCAATTTCTCAGCTGGATTTTGACAGCTCTAGTTATTAGCCTCCTTCGCTGAGGTTAGTGGGATCCCAACCTGAGATGAAGCCCCGAGACACAGAGTAGGGTACACAGAAGGCCGACTTCTTGGTTTTTCCTATGATTTTCCTATGATTTGGCGTAACCTGTAATTCGTCATCAAATGCTGACGCTATCGTCCTCAGGCCTTAAAATATCTTTTACAGGGCCGTCTGACAAAATGTCCGATGACGTTCGCTGCCCCGCGCTCGACTACGTTAAAAACATTTCCAGTTCACCTTTTATACAACAGAACTCTGATTTTCCATTTAACATACAAGCTTTTAGCCCTGGGCTAGGGTACATTTTGATTTACGTCGGACAAAGCTACAGTTCGGTCTGACACCAATACACTCAGGTCGGACAAACAATAAACCTCAGTTTCACTTTGATCGGACAGAATGTCCGGTGGTTTCCTCTATACGTCGGACAATTTCACGAATGGCCGTGACCGACCGATATTTTAAGGCCTGCTGGTCCGTTTGAGAGGCATTCACCCCCCTGATAATATTCAAAATGGTGGACGTCCAAGGCACAGAATAGGAAGTTATACCAGAAGCGTAACTCTAGTCGTTTCCCTTATTGTTTGACGTCCACGAAAATTTTAACTCGCTCACGTCAGGCCACGCCATCCTGGCTAGTACAGTCGGAAGTTTTTATCAGGATTTGGTAGGTACAAAGTGCCGGTTGTACTAGCCAGGATGGCGTGATTGATGACGAATCGCTTGTAAAAACGCGGACAAATATTTGCTCGAGTTACGCTTCTGGTATAACTTCCTATTCTGTGTCCAGGGGGAATGCCTCTCGAACGCGCACTGGCTAGGACCATGGCGTCACAGAATAGGAAGTTATACCAGAAGTGTAACTTGAGCAAATATTTGTCCGCGTTTTTACAAGCGATTCGTCATCAATCACGCCATCCTGGCTAGTACAACCAGTACTTTGTACCTACCAAATCCTGATAAAAACTTCCGGCTGTACTAGCCAGGATGGCGTGGCCTGACGTGAGCGAGTTAAAATTTTCGTGGACGTCAAACAATAAGGGAAACGACTAGAGTTACGCTTCTGGTATAACTTCCTATTCTGTGATGACGTCAGCATTTTGATGATGAATCATGGCGTGGCAGCGGTTACTCGAGTCGACCTTCTGTGTGCCTTATTCTGTGCCCGAGATGAACCCCCGAGATGACAGTTACTAATATTTCAAATTTTTAAACGAACTTACCATAAATTAGATAAATACCTAATTAGTACATGCATTTCAAGGTAGTATACATGAAGAAACAACATCAGTTAGATCTATTTAATATATACTATTGTTTTTATAGCTGCTGATGTTGTTAAAGCTATCAAAGAAAGTAAAGATGTGCAAGCTTTTACCTTGGAAGGAAATACATTGGGTGTTGAAGCTGCCAAAGCCATCGCTGAAGCTTTATCAAAACGACCTGAGTTTGAGGTATATTTTTGAATATAGGGGAAACAACAGCCAATTCAATGACCTCAGGCTAATGTGTACCTTGTCTTGTGCAAAATACTGAAAATCTGAGAGTCTCTTACTGGGCGGTTATCCTTGTCGGCCAAGAAAATCTAATTTGAATTTACTCACCGATGAGAATAAGCGCGTACCTACATGTAACAGTGGACTTGTCATGTTCTATTCATTTTTTTTCTTCAGAGGGCTCTATGGAATGATATGTTTACTGGTCGATTGAGATCGGAAATACCCATAGCTTTGGTAATTTTATATACGATAAGTAACACCAAATGTGATTTTAATTTGCGTAATATTAGTGTCATTCTGAGAAGAAGTAAAATATCTTTACATACAGTAGTAAAAACCTCATCGTGCTCAACTTTTTCACTGTAAAAGACTGATTTTAAAGTAAAAAACAATGGAAAAGTAATTAAAGCCATTAATTTAATGACACTATATATATACTAAATTCTACAGTGAAAAAGTTGATCCAGATGAGGTTTTCTACTCACATACACTACCATCAACTATCACACATACACTACCAAAACTCATTAGGGTTAGTGGCAGCTTTGAACGCAAAATCTATTTTTTATTATTGTTTCTTAAGGAAAGTTTGGGTGATGCAGTAATAACCTCTGGTGCACATCTGACTGAATTAGATTTATGTGATAATGCATTTGGTCCAGATGGAATGAAATCTGTCACAAAACTTTTAACAAGTTCATCTTGTTTCTCCTTGAAAGTTTTAAAGTTTAACAACAATGGTCTTGGAATTGGAGGTGGTCAGGTTTGTCTAATGTTTTTTTTAATGGCAAATATAACGGTGCGTATGCATATAACGATGCGTTTGCATAATTCGGATTATTTGCACGGTTATTAATAACGAATATTATCCGCTTGGGGAATATACAGTTTGAGATGAAAGTGCAACTGAAATCGACCCGACCAATCGGAATGCGTAAAAGGTTGCACAGCGCGAAATCACAAACACCTGTAGATGTCCTTCTATCTCTAAATTGCAATATACCAAAAGTAACGTAGAAGTTCAAATTCTAACTGATTGTCAACAGGTAGTCAAAGTTATTTGACCACCATAGGAATCGAACCCGTAACATTTGATTTGCGTCCAATGGCGGACATTTCCCAAAATATTCGGGATGTGTATTTAGGTTACCAAAATAATACAACTCACCTTGTTGCTGCAAATTTCACTCCTTTAAAACTTTTTGGTTTTGGCTGTTTTTGCCCGAATTTAAAGATACTGTACTCTTACTAAGGCCAAAAAAAATATATGGGTTTCCTGTTTCCCGACCCTACCTAGCTTTTGGACGTCGAAATCCCGACCCTAAACTTTTTTATTAGATCATGCTTGTAAGTGTTTCCACTTAGAGGAAAAAGTTTGTGGAAAATTGAAATTGGAGGCAATATTAGGGAAATTTATCTTTGGATGTGGAAGCACTGACGAAACAAAATGGCGTCCGCTTGTTCGGAAAATTAAAAAAAAGTTTTAAAAAAAAAAGTTAAAACCGACCTACCCTACCTAAGTTTTTATAAGAAGAAACCGGAAACCCACATTTTTTTTGGCCTAATTAAAAGGATATCGGGATTTTATAGTTTAAATAGCCTTGTTATGACTTACAGTAGTACAGTACTTTGTTAATAAGCTATCTTTCAGAGATGTCTGAAAAAGTGGTGCCGCCCCCTTTCGTCCCCCTCGTGTCTGTCAGTGTTTGCGTCACTGATATCACATAAGCTACTGTAGGTCTTGGTTAGGAAAAGAACTATGGCATGATGGCATTTTACATATCAGTAATCTAACCGTTTTCATAGCTTATACGATTAAGGCATAAGATTTTTTTTTTGCAACAATACATTATCATGCCTTCTCTTTCGTGTATAGATATTATCAGAGGCCTTGTTAGAATGTCATAAATCCAGTGTTGAGGCTCAAAGTCCTTTAAAATTAAAAGTGTTTGTTGCTGGAAGAAATAGACTGGAAAATCAAGGAGCTGCTGCTTTAGCGAAAGCCTTTACGGTAACTGTTCAAGAAATGTAAAGTAAACTTTCAAACTTTATTTTTTGATTTCTAGTCATTGAAAACGCATGCCATGATAAAAAATTAAAACATACAATTTCAAAATTTCATGACCATTGTCAGAAATTACACTAAAATTAAAGTTACCACTACCATGCAAATTTTGACACAAAAGTTCCACGAGTTGATAAATACAGTTGAAATTGCGGTTGCAAAATTTCAGTTCGGTTGTTCAACGTGGTATTTTGCCTCCTTTGCTTCAATTTCCACAGCGGCAATTAATATTAATTGTGCTTGGCGAGCTTTGAGTTCACTATGAAAATTTGAGCACCCACTCTAAGCAGCTCATGTTGCCACGTATTAATATAGTCGTAACTTTGTGTATCCAAATTGAATCGAATGACTTGCTGAAAACTGATTTCCCCAATCCCATGCATCGGGGAAATCAAGGCCAAGGTCTAACGTGCAAAGCCTATACGTACCAGCGTTTGTCATAATTGTTCGTTATAAGATCTGTATTATTCTTAGGCAATAGGAAGTCTTGAAGAAATATCAATGCCTCAAAATGGTATCAACCACGCTGGCGTGGCTGCTTTAGCCAAGTCTTTTAAAGCTAACAAAAATTTAAAGGTGTGTTGTTGTAATGTCAATGATGTTTAATTGTTTGTACAGTATGTATACCAATTGATAGGAAGGAAGGCAGGGAGGCAGGAAGGAAGACAGGGAAAGTCTCTTTTTTTCTACCGTCCCTCTGCACTTTGTGCTACTGCTGATCTCAACATTTCTATAAACGCCTGCAATACTGGCCTGAGCGCAGTCTCATGGCATCGCGGGGTCAATCATTTGACCGAGGCTAATTGCTATATGAAATAGGGAATGGGACGAGTCGCCTTAACATGTGTGACTGGGAATTTTCATACGTACGTGTATATTTTAGGTTGTGAATCTTAACGATAATACGTTCACTGCGAAAGCCGCAATTGCAATGTCGAAGGTAAGACCTGTGTGTTAAAATTCTTATTTCTATATTTACGTTATGTGGATATAAGATATTGTTAAAACTTTCTTCCTATTTAAACTCTTATGGTACTTATTGAGAAATCAGGCCGAGTTGGTTTTTAACTGGTTCTTATTTCTACTGTCAAAAACAAGTGTTTTCGGTTTAGTGTTTTCCCAACAGATTTGGATTTGCAGTAGTATTAAATTAAGTATGTAGCTGTTTATACCTGCCCTCAGAGCATGTCTCTACTGCAGCTAAAGACACAGTTAACGTTTTTTTTAAAACCAGAGTCATTTGTCAGCTTGGGGCAGGTGTGACGCGAAATTCCTGACTTGCGAAATATCTGACTATTGTAGAACTGCGCATCCGCAGACGATGCCCTTGGATGACTTTGGCTCATAAATTTCGCAACTGAACAGACAACACGTGTATTTATAAAGCCATTTTATTTATACATAAATTTTCCAACATTAATTCTACAATTGATCAACTGAATTGACACTATACCACTGATTGTGAACGTTATAATAAACCTTGAATCGTAGATATGGAAAAATCACTCGAAAAGCGATCTTAGTGATATAAAATAGACTCCAGTTTCAAAGGTTATGCCGTATATGCATTACTATACTATAAGCACTAAAAATCGTTTCGCGTTTGACCTTCTCGCTATCAGTTAGTAAGCAGCAACGATGAGTTCGAAGTTCATGAGTTGGACGTTTAGATTTGGCGATGTCTATGCTAGAAACATTTGGTAACATCGCATATGGAGTAAAAATCGTTTCGACCGACCGTATTTAGCAAACGTCGTGTATTTCGCGGTCACGACCACACAATTCGCTTTGAAATTTAAAGTGTTTGTGATTGAAACTTAGCGATGTCGATTTGAAATATTTAACGAAGTATTAGAAATTAACATCATGATTATTTTATCTAAACTCTAAAAAACAGTTTTGGCCGACTTAGAATTTAGCAAGCGTCATGTATTTCGCGCCTGTACGCGCGAAATTTCTGACCCGTCACGCTAGGTCAGGTATTTAGCAGAGGTCAGGAATTTCGCTTGACACCGGTTTTACGAAAGCTGTATGCATGATAGCGCTATCCACCGGATAGTGATTTTTTCAACCTTTCTGCAGTAAATTGTCCGTTGACTGGAGTAACGAATGAGATTAAACTTAGTTTTTATTCAAGTTTCTTTTTATTAACTATGAGTTCCATATCCGCCGTTTTACAGCTTTTGAAGCAACTGGATAGCGCTATCCGGCCTTCGTACATGAAACCGGTACCTGACGTGGTTGTTGTATCTTGGGTGCTTAATCGCCCAAATTTCAGGATGGTGGTTCTTAACCCACTGGTTCTTTTATGCGGGTTTTTCTGCGGTTTACATTAAATCTGTGCCTTTATATAGGCAAGTACTGCTAAATTTATTTTACACATGGGCATTATTTCAACTGTCGTTTTATAGGTTCTTCCAAGTCTTCCAAACTTGGAAATTATAAACTTTGGTGATTGTTTAGTGAAATCTAAGGGTGCAATTGCCATTGCAGAGGCTTTGAAAAACCGTCATCATAACTTAAAGGTAATACTGCATTTACTAAAACATACTGCAACATATTTGTATTGTGTTGAGGAACAGTAACCTCGGTCTGTACATGTATATGATTTTTACAGAATACTGTCATGCAAGGCATTGATTCACATGCATATTTGTACTACCTACAGTACTGTTCACTGTATTTCACTCGTTTCTAAGATTATATACGTCAGTTTTATGTCATCTCAACTTAGAGCAGCAGTGGAGTAACTCCTTTGGGCTCAAGTTAGGGATCCAAATCGATCCGACTCGGCTCAAGCTACGGATCCAAATCAATTAGGGGGTCCCTGAACAAGGATGACAAAGTGGCGAAGTTGATGTATTTCAGCCCCCCGGTCGCCACTTTAAATGGGCAGGACCAGAGGCCCTATTCCGGGTAAAGCCGGGGGGGCCTTTTGCACAAAGTTACACCACTGAGCAGCAGTAAAAGTAAGAGTAACATGAAGTTCCGTGACTATACAGTATAACAGTAACAGTATCATGATTTCAGTGACATTGACAGTATCGGTCACATGGTATACAATTATGATTGCTGTTTTGTTTCAACTTTGGTTCTTGTTCAATATGTGAGGAATTTTTATGGCAAAAATACTTTTGCGTATAGTACAGTACCTGACGGTATGAATGTTATAAAGGTTTTGTAATATTAATTCAATACAATGTTCGTGTGTTTTCAGGAACTTATTTTAGCGTTTGGCGAAATGAACAAAGAGGCAGCCATGCGGGTCGTTGAATCCATGGAAAACAAACCTCATCTTACGAAACTAGACCTAAATGGTAAGAATCAGAAACGGTCAGTTGTAAATTATCAGTTAAGTAAAGAGATTTAACTGTTGAACGGGTGAGTAGAAATGTGTTCCATACGAAGATAAAGAGGTTGTTTGTAAATCGTATTTATAAAGTGTACTTACAGTTTGTTGTTCTTTTGTCTCCGTTTGGGGAGCCCTTTTGACAGGCACTAGTTGTGTGGGGGGAAATTGGTACAATTTCTATATCGTCATTAATGACTTTAAACACCTTCCATGTTCTTTGACAATCGACCTGGTCTCTTTTACACGTAATCAAAAGATCAACAAAACACAGCTCAACGACGCCATGCACGAGCTATAGTATCCGCCATTTAAAGATTTTAGCAAAATTTGTTTACCATTCATGTGATTGCATTGGAATAAGTCGATTGACTTTTTTGTTGAGTGTAAAGCCTAAGAAAGAAATAAAACAGTCATGATCATTTCCCCGTAGTCATGCACATGCATGTATAATACTCCATGCATGGTACTGATACTGTTAATCATAAAAGAAGGTGAAACGATAGTACAATTGTCATTCTCCTTAAATGATGTTCGAATTATTGTATTTAATAAAAGTATTATAAATTCTTTGTATAAATTGCCAATTTGAAAGTTAAGTGTATTTGTTTTAATTGCGATTGCGTGCGCACTTGTAATTTTATAATTTAAACGTTCTTGAGCTGACCATGAGCTGACGTTGTCGCTTGCGTGGTATGCTTGCGTGATGATATATAATTAAATTGTTTCAACCGAAAATATAAAAATTGTCTAAAATCGGAGCTACTGTACCGAACATTGTTTTCCACAAAAATGCAGTCAGCTATGTATGTCATCCACACCTCCTTAAGCGTGCCAGGTAGATCTTTTTCCACATTTCACTACAGCTTCATGTCTACTGTAATTTGCAAGAACAGCGAAATTACAAAGTAATTATTTGTACGCTCACGTCCTTCTTTATTTTGCAACTAACGTTAGCATTTTTATATTCCAGGAAACTGTATTGGTGAAGACGGCATTGAAGAACTTCGATCTAAATTGAACGAGTTGAATCACAAAGACGTTCTTGATTCACTGAGTGATGATGAAGGTGATGATGAAGATGGAGAGGAATCTGAGGAAGATGATGATGAAGGTGGAGATGATGATGAAGATGAATCGGAGGATGGCGAAGAAAAGGAAGAAGTGGATGACGAAAAAAGAAAAACAGATAAGGTTTGAGAAATAATACGAAGCTTTGCATGGTCGGTTGTATTTTAGGATGAACACTCTTGGTATACTGTACATGCATACTGTACATTGTCAAGTGCACACAAAGTAATGAGAGCATTTGAGAGCATAATTAAAATCATTGAACGAAATTAACAATTTATAAGATTTTGCCGTGAACATTATGCCGTATATGCTAATTAACCAACAGATCTAATGGGAAGTTAACGAGACAAGCTGTAAGAACTTGTCCCAAGAGATAAAAGATGGGTTGGGAATATCCAGTTTTATTATATAGTAGAGAGTGAGATACTGAAAAATACACAATGAGATATTTTCGTATCTTCAATCGATCACGTGACTTTTTCCAATTTGCTTTTGAGCGTGAATTTCACAATTTGTTGCTTGGGACTATATAATAAACAGAACATTACACGGTGGCTTGAAGACACGACTTTTATCTTCTCGTGTTAAAAACAATATTTTACTCACTCGCTGCGCTCGTTCGTAAAATATTGTTTTCACCACTCGAAGATAAAAGTCATATCTTCGCACCGCCGTGTAATATCCTCTATGTACTACAACTGCCCTGATGTATATATACTTCCAGGTAAACGTTGAGCAACGCAGGTCTCAAAATAACGACCGGTCAACAGAGAATGATCGGCCAAAAATACCTCGTGACCGGTCACTTTTTTACCTCACCGGTCATTTTGACCGGCCACATTATCATGCCTTCCATGCAATGTGATTGCTGACGTCTTGAATTAAAAGATGAAACTTTGATGTATCGAAACAAGTTTCTAATAGTTTGTTTCACTGTCAGTGTAAGCGTATCAATGACCAGTCAAACACAGAGTTTGACCGAGCTAGAATCAAGTTGACCGGTCATTTTGACCGGATAATTACTATATCTCCCGTTATTTTGAGGCCTGCAATGAACGCTCTCGGACAGTATAGTTGTCATCTTTCAATTCAAGCCATGGCAATCAGGATAATAGAATAAATTCAACGAAATATTACATTACGAGATCTGACTTAGTTACGAACCATAGCGGATTAAGAGATACAGGGACGATGCGTAAGCGTCGATCATCACGTCGTTAAAATTTGACGGCAGTTTCTGAGGTGGAGCAATAATGGTCCATTCGAAAATCCTACACAAGAACCCCATTGCACCCACTTGATTTGCCGTGGCTTGAACTGCAGAATTTAGACTATTTATAGACTTGGGAACGTATGATCAGACACATTCCTGGCGACTTGTCCAGTGCATCATGGCTAGAACCTTTTTAAATTTATTAACGTAACAGTTTATGACTGATTTTATTTAATAAAAGTATTTTAATTAATCAAAACTATACAAATCGACTACATACCAATTTATGATTAATTGTGTAAAATTAAGTGGGGTGAACTGTATTTAAATATTGGAGACTTTTTCAATAGTTCAGACTCCAGGTTGTACAGTATATATACTCATCATCAAAACACAGCACGACACTGTTTCTTCCCTTCCCTGCTTGTGAAAGAAGGAATACTTAAGTGGTGGTAGAAGCAAATGTTGATATCCTTTGAGATTTTGTCCAGAGGAGAGGCAAGTGAACTTGCTGTAAATACAGTAGGGGCGAAATTACCGAAATCGCCTATCTTTAAATATATAATCATCTACAACAGTGAATACTGGTGACCAAATCTAGTTTCAAAAACTCGATTTGTTTACGTATAAGAAGCAGTGTACGAATTTTGATATCATGTTCAAGAACTAGTAAAGTAATATATTTGTAGGACAATGATCTAAAAATTGCTGAAGAATTTTTGTCGCATCCATCCCTGGAAAGTTTTAAAACTTTACCAACAGAACCTTACAGAATTGAACTTGTAAAGCAAGCGTTGAAGGTATTGTAGCTTACTGTTGTTATATAATTATTTGTACAATTCCTACATTTTTTTGTCATCATAATATTACTGTCAAATTAACATTTATCTTGCAGACGAAAATAACTGATGTGGATTGTATTTGCAGATCATTTGTTCAGGTATATCATTAAACTTATAGAAATGTATATCAAAAAGAAGTGAATATTTTAGAAAATTGTGCATGCAATCTCTATCTTTTCCCGTTTAGTCACATATACATGCGTCGTCAGAGGCTTTTTTAAAAATATATATAAAGAAGTGTTTTTAACCATTATATCAGTCCTTTGAAGTCATGTTACATGATGTTTTCTTCCGCTGATGTTTTCTTTACTACCATACCATACCATAGAGCATGAAAGAAATGAATGAGAATGAAAAATATCGGCCCGGGTGAAAGGTTGGCCATGTTCACAGATTTTTCACGAATAGTTTTCTGCATAACATTGGCTCTCTGTCAGAAATTGCGTTGCAAGTTGCAGAATTGCAAAATTGCCTCGTGTAGCGTTGCATTTAAAATATCGAGGCCGAATTTTGGTGGAAACGCAGGGAGAGGTGGAAAAAACGTATCCCCCTGAAGTCAAGTACGTGACGTATCATGTACTGTACATAGCTATCAATGATTTGTGAATTATGACTGTATAACTCATCCAATTGATTTCATCCCTCGCTACAACACTATACGGCATTTCTTTCAGAACATTAGAAAACTGCGGTTTTGAGAAGGATTCAGTTACCTTTCGAAGTATTGCATTAAAAGCGCAAATAGAGATGAATGAGTATCACGTTTTCAATTTTATAGAAGAACTTGTTACAAAGTGTAGAACCTAAGCAACACATAAAAAATTAGTAACAAAAATGAAAGTTACTGTTGCGTCAAATTGTGACTCTGTTCCATCATAGACAATCCAGAAGACAGGGACTGGAAACGCCTAATGTTTTGCGCGTGCCAAAGCGTGCCATCCATGATGTGCTTGCGTGACGCTTGTGCCAAATGCCAATCATGCCATGTGAGTGAATTACTGAATGGTGCCTGTTGTTTCGAAAAAGAATAAAGCGATAGATTGTGGACCGGTACTTGTCTGCTGCTTTACAGCTCTTTATATACTGGAAAATTGTTTAAATAATCTACACCGAAAAGGGAATTAGGTATATCACATTGTGTGTAAAGTTTATAAAACGGATCTGCTAATATTCAGAGACGAGTGCAGAGAATTTTCGAGCTTGTTCAAAATTTTGATTTTCAATTTGGGGTGGACTTTCAGGCACGATTCAGGTTTGTTTGCGTATTTTAGTTTACTTTAATTAAGTTTACGTATATTTATTCAATTTTGCTTCACTGTAACTACGTTATATAAATTGATTGAAGTTATCTTTTCGAAGTTTTCCTTGATCTACATTTTAAAATTTGAATTTGGCAATTTCGGTTTTTAAATTAATATACCTTCCATTTTTAATATTGACAACAAATCCTTTCTTTTTCGAAAACCCTTTTTGCTAAGGCATCCATTATTTAAAAGAAATAAAAACAAGGTTTCAGTTATTTTAACGGTGAGTTTTGTATATGTTTAACACTCTTAACTTTCGACAATGCCAACACTGAAGAATGCCAATGGCAATGACAACTTTTTTGCTGTCAAAAACATTACGCAATCATTAAAAGGTAGTTTTTGCCTTTGTTTGACCCAATATAAGTTTAAAAACCGGAGAAATGCATCCACATGTCTATATTTGTTTTAAATATGTAAATTGCAAACCCTGAACTTTATTTAAACTGTAGTTGCAGGGTTCGAAGTTAGCCGGTACAAACTTTGCCGGACAACAACAAATGGCAATGGCGACTTTTTTCAGTGAAAAACATTACGCAGCATTCAAAGGACGTTTTTGGCTTTGTTTGACCCGATATAAGTTTCAAAACGGGACAAGTGCATCCACAGGTCTATTTTTGTTCAAAATATGTAAATTACAAACTCGGAACTTTATTTAATTAAACTATAGTTACAGGGTTCGAAGTGGGGGCAACAGAAATGGCCATCTTCTAGTTGGCGCAAATTAAAAGTAATTTTGGCCGTCAAATTTTCAGTAAACATTTTTGGGCGAATAAGTTACCAAATTGATATAAAAAATAGCCTATTCGATAGATTACAATGTTGTGATTACACATACTTTGACCAAAAGGTACAAAAATAGTTTATTTTTCAGTTGCAGGGTTAGTTTTGCCAGTTTGCGTAATTTTTTGTGTCAAAATTCTCTATTGAATTGTATATGAAAGAAAAAAACCCATAGGAAAATGTTTTTTTACGAAGTAACCACTCATTTGATTCTGTTTTTCGAACAAACGTTTTCACTTAAAAGTCTACTTTTACCGCTAATTACTCCCTGTTATTTATTAGACGCGTGCATATTAACATATTCGCCAACGCATGATGTCATCGTTTGCTAAAGTGCGGTTGTTATTCTGACTAATTTTATACTATGTGACTGAATTTATAGATCTAAATAACTCGTAATATCTTAGAAATTCTTATCTCTAAAATCGTTTTGTGTTCTTAGTTACAGTTAAGCCATCGTGCATTAACGTTGTCCTCTACAGATACCCATGTGTGATGCGTCTGGCATGACTGCACTAACACATATTATGCTTTCCTTCAAACTTTTAGCTCTTGGCCGCAATGAAGAATTTCGACACAAGTAAATTATGCAAACTAACTATAAATACTGACAAACATTTTTAGGATCTTTGTTTAAGAAGAAACTTCACGATTTCCGAGCTTATAGCGACAAAGTAAACTATGTTTTCGAGGGGGCCAAATTTCCGAAGGGGAGGCCATATTTCCTAGGAAATATGGCCCCCAGGGAGGCCAAATTTCCTAGGAAATTTGGCCCGGGGGGGCCAAATTTCCTGGGACACCGGCGAACAACATTCGTAATTCTGTCAATCAAATTCAGTAAACATTTTTTGCTGAATATGATACCAAATTGATATAAAAAATAGCCTATTCGATAGATCTTGTGATTTCAAATGGCTTCATCGTCAAAGACAAAACAGGTTAAGTTTGTAGTTACAGGGTTAGTTTTGGCAGTGTTTTCTGGAAATAATTGCTGCGTACGCGATTTACCGATAGCACGATCCAAATTTTACATTTAGCGTCACTATAAAATAGAAATAAATGAAAATTTGGACGTATCTACCTTTGTTAGTATAGCCGCTCCACGACTACGATCCCAAAATTCAGATAATACGCTTGTTTTACGATATATTTTGCATAAACTACACGCATTTGCCTTTGTTTTTATGTAAATTTAAAGACTTGTTACCGTGGTAACCAAGTAATTGCTACGTGACAGGCACATCACGGATGTCACGATTTGTCATCATATTCTAGCTTGCGTTTCCAGTCCCTGTCTTCTGGATTGTCTATGGTTCCATCATTTGACCTTTTTCAAGGGAAGGTGCATGAATTTCCATGGGTTCTTATGGGTCACCTCCCCACTCCTCCCCTCAAAATCCTGCATGATTTAATTTTTTTTTTAATTGAAAGTCCATTTACTGTCTTTATACATGAAGACCTTGTTCTTTGATTTGCAGGTGTCATCTGTTCTTCACAATGCCGACGATTTTATTCCATGCACAGGTATATACGTCGTCAGTTTAGCTGTACACCTTTCATGTTATTGAACAATACAGTAGTTAATGCATTTGGTTTGGCATGGGTTTTTCTTTATGCAGTGCAACTGTGCAAGCTCGTCTTGGTATAAAATCCTGAGGGATTGTCATGTGTTCTTATCTAGATTGCATGTCAATGTAACAACACATAAGCTATCATTCTTTACTGCTTTAGCAGTTAGCAAATCGTATATTTAATAATTATTGAATGAGGTTGAACATGCCATGATGTGAAGAATTAGTAAGATCGACGTTTGTGTTATCCAATCAAAGTCGATGACGAGGTTGATAAAACAAGCTGATGGTTTGATAATTTTTCATATCTTGCGAAAACCGAATTCAATAATTGTTTTATTATCTATTTAAAAGATGAAAAAGACATATGGGTTCAATTGGTCGAAATAATGACCAGTTCTTTTTCCTCAGTATAAGTACGTTAAGATGTTTTAAAACCTGTCGTGGCTGTTTCCGTTGATATTTTTTCTTTATATTTTCATTGTCTTTCCACAGCATGACGTCATAATGTTGAATATGATTTTTTTCACATCAACAACATGACGCCATGTCGCCGACGTTTGTGTTATCCAAAGTGATAACGTTTGTGTTATCCAATGTCCAAAGCTATGTGAAAACCTCATATATTTGATCAGCTATTGAGTTGATATGAAGATTTCACAGGTGGTTGTTAGCCAATCAAAAACCATGAATGTTTTAAATAACTAACAATGACAAATGTCTTTCATTTCAATGTGATGCCTTAATGTGCATTTATCAGAAATTTAATAAGTAATTTTATGTTTGTTAATAAATTCAACGGAACTCGAACAGCCAGGATTTTAGTTGGTATTTTGTGTTTGGTTTGACACTGCAGGGTTTTTTTATGTTCACATTTAGATGTAATTCTCCAGGAAGCTTTTCTAGTATCTGATAAACCGGAAACTGTAATAAACAAGTTACTAATTCACATGGGTTTACTAAAGGTTTGTTATTTTGCTTAGTATTTTGGTTTTTTATTTTGCTTCGAATCCTTATTTGATTCGCCTTCTAGATCAGTGGTGGACTATTAGATATCCGGGGAGGGGAGGGGAGAGAAGGGAAATGTTTCTTGCAAGAATTTTTTTAAGTTCGGACGTTTGTCGAATCTTTTTTACGGTGTATTTAGGAGCTGCATGTGCAGGATTTTTTTTCTATACATATCTGTATATTCCATGCATGTAGTTGCAGAAATTTTGTTTCTTTCTCTAGATACTTGCATGAATACTTTTTTCTAACTCTTTGCATGAATGCTTTTGGAGAACTGCCAACCCCCTCTCAGTACAGTACAGTATATCTAATGGTCCACCCCTAATATACTAGAGTTGCAACTCTCGCTTCTAGCCAACTTTCATTGTCGCTCATCAACGTTGGATCAGGGTTTAAAGTATTAATTTATAACAGCATTATTCTGCATGAGGTAAAGCGACAACAGAATGTGCATGTTAAATTATTTTCTTTTAAGAATTCAGTTTGCCGTTCTTCAAATTAGTATACAGTATGTATAATTTGCATCATTTTCACGTGTGATATCGGCATGCACTTTTGGGGTGCCGCTTGACGTAATGACGTTATCGCTGACCATGAGTGCCGCTCTACTTAGGACTTTTTTAAGAGAGATAAATACTATAGGGTTAACTCTTAATAGTGCATGGTATATTGTAGTGATGGGCGATACCACCAGTATCGGTTTCGATACGATACCGATTACTTTTTGGTTAAAGTATCGAGGTATCGATTACCCAAACGATTACTTCCTCCAATTTTCAAAAACTTGCATATTTTTAACAGTAACGATTTGATCCGCCATTTTAATCCATAAAAAAAACAAATATTACTTTATTTCCCGCCTTTTTCATAATCTATTTTACTCGGCAAGAATAGAATGGCAAATAAAGTATGAAGGAAGTTTGATTAAATTGATAAATGCAGCAAAATACCAAAAAGTGCGTAAATTTTATTAGAAATAACCATGAAAATGATGATACAACTGCAGGATTATAATGAATTTCTAATTTTAAAAGTAATCGAAACACTTTTTCGATACCATGCAGTATCGACTACTTCCTGTTTGGGCCTGGTATCGGGTGGTATCGATACCAAGTAATCGGTAATCGCCCATCACTAGTATATTACTATATTGTTGTATATTTGTGCAGAGTGAAGAAAAGATAAAACCAGCAAGTGATGATATAACAGGTGCGTTAGAGGCGCTTGATCAAGCTGCAACACAGGAGTATTTTCCCAAGAATCTCGCTTTCTATTTCATCGCCTTCTTAGCAAAGTAAGTATGATGCTTCAACGCTTGCCGAATGACACAATTTTATTCAATTTATCGTTAATTAGCCGTAAATTAAGGGAATTATTTTAACAAATAGTTTCAAACAGAAGATTTTCACTAAAAGCTGGAAAAAATACTCTTGACATCGTTTGTTAATGCACCAATTCGTTAAGCAAATATTCTAAGACAATTAAGAAAACAACTATGACAGACACAATGTTGTGAGAGAAGGGTTGTCGAGGAGAAATGCTCCGATTATACTTTAAACTGTGGCCAAATTGTCGCCCCACAGACTCACTGTTACAGCAATATGATTATGATATAATTATATGTCCTCAGGGGGTCGTGGTTCCCTCATGTTGGACTTTACCCAAGGGGTAGATCCCCGAGATGGGCATCCTAAATGTCCAAGGGGTAGTACCGTAGTAGATCCCCGTGATGGTCATTGTTTACTTTAATGTCCAAGGGGTAGTAGATCCCCGTGATGGTCATTGTTTACTTTAATGTCCAAGGGATAGTAGATCCCCGTGATGGTCATTGTTTACTTTAATGTCCATGCAAGGGGTAGCAGATCCCCGTGATGGTCATTGTTTACTTTACAATACACTGTATAATACATTGATTTGTGTGAGTCTATATGGGGTTGAGGGTGACCTTTGGGAGCACTCCATCCCAACAACCAAATATTTTTTATTTTTACAACCAGACTTGCAAAGTCAATTCCAATACTGTATATTACAAAATATAGATGTGCCTGTAATAACATGTTAACCTGCAGTAACTACTCCATAATACTTTATCTATGCGTACACTACATGAATTGCAGTCCATGCGAATCTCGATGACGGATTGCATACCAAAATAATATTTACAGATTTTAATTAATTTATTTTGTGATACGAGTTATGATAAAGTGGTGCAAAATCCTTGAAGGGTGGGATGGGTGGAAATTTCAAAGTACTTTGCCGCAGAGGCCATACACTTTTGCTTGCAAGTGACACAATGAGGCTTACTGATCCAAGCAGGAAACTATGCAGACGAAGAGGTGAAACCTGATTGGTCTATTTTCCCGCACGCATGCAAGGGAAGAGATTTGACAATGGTTTGTTGTTAATTCAGCCTACACGTGTATGATCACACGGTTCACAGATTGACCTTTGTACCAGACCTTTGTACTCCAGGAGACTTAGCACAACTTTACTTTTGTCCGAAGTTTATAATGCTATGGGCACGTATAAACTTGCTAAAAAGTTTGATTTTGAACCAACAAATACGCCGCCTCAAACTGGACCCGAATAAACTAAAAATTTGAGAACAATGTAGGACTGTAGTTTGCCTGCAGTAATTTCATTGTTAATCATATAGAGGGCAAATTTTTTCAAATATGATTGGCTAACGATGAGGGCATTTTTTCGAGATTATCTATAGTGCGAGCTGCGAGTTGCGAGTTACGAGTATATTGTTAATTTCTAATAACATCGGGTTTAATTTTAACCCAGGGTTAACACTAACCTAGCTTTGAAGCACCGAACCAGGTGTTTACACCTGTGGTTTACACTAAAAATTCAAATTGAAAACTGTATGGCATCCTGGCGGATGTGATTTTAGCTTTGTCTCAATTTGGCGCCAATTTTCAGCTTTTGAAATAAACATTCATTGCATTTATTTTTATACTTACAAACTTGTAAATAGCAATCGTTTTGATATACTGATGGTTTTTTCCCGTGTTTAGATAAAGTTTATGTATGTATATGTATGTCTATGTATAAATTGTATAAAATAAATTGTACTTCCGATGAAAAGGACTTGAGTTTTATAGGGTTCCCAGCGTTCAGTATATATAAACAAACTGAGTCGGTGTCTGGTCATACTTACTAATAAAATTAAATAACCATTTTAAGATTAGAAAGCACAAAATGGTCTGATAACTACTAGATTTTATTAAACACAGAAACGGCAAATATAAACTTGCACTTTTATTTTCAATATAATTATTTTAATTCTTGAACATACGTATCGATGGATCTAACAAAGTAAAAAAGCAAGTAACGGCCGATTTTTATCTCGTCCGTATCGTAGCATTTTCTTTTGTGTCGAAGTCTTAGTTACAGGGACCTTAACTTCGAAGGTCATTATATTTATGAAACAAAAAACCCTTCGACTTTGCCTTCCATGTCGTCCATATTAATATACTTTCAAAGCCTAATTCAAAGCGAGGCTAGCGACTCGCAGCTCGCAACTCGCAGCTCGCAAAATAGCCGACCCCCATTTTTTCTTAATTCAGGACAAATTTACTTGTACCTGATTGGCTGAGACGCAAGCATGGGAAGTTTCTTGTTTTAAATAGCAATACAAACAATGGCTTCTCGCTTTGTTGTTGCGGATAATGTTATTGAAGAATTATAATAAAAACTTCTAGTGAAAACTTGAACACTGGAAAAAGTACAAATTTATGGGTTGGAGTATTTAAGAAGTGGGCAGCATTAAGGAACATCGGCGAAGACATGGAGACATACAAAGTTCAAGAACTTAACAAGTTCACAATAAATTTTGCCCTCTATGATTAACAAGTAATCACATAGTTCCTTGTAAAATTTTTACAAATTTCAAAGTTTTACAAATTACCCTCATCGCTTCGCGACTTGGGCAATTTGGGAAACTTTGTAAACACGCGTGAAATTAAACCTAATTATTAATATTTCTTTTCCCACTTTTAGACCGAATTCTACAATGAAATGTTCACCGTCAGCAAAGACAAATCTCTTGCAAACTTTAGAACAGTTATAAATTCACATGCGCAATAGAATTATGTAATCTTATTTTAACTCACATACAGTAGCTATTTAAATCTATGCATGTGTACTTGTTTGTTTTTTTCTACTGTGTATAAGGTTGTCAATACTCGCAACCTGGATCCACGACTCGCGTGAAAAGCACAACAACAAACGTGTGTGTCGCTTTCTTCGTGTCTTTCTGACTTTGATTTTTGTATTTGTGGGCCTGCAATAATTGGTCGCCTAGACTGTTGCGGATACCCAACTATAGTCTGTCGTAGTCCTGTATAGTTGTTGTGTGTGTTTTTATGTACAGTAGCGTAACACGAAAAATCTCACCAAGATGTGTTTGCAACAGGCTTGTGGCAACCTTGTCAACAAGTTGTAACAATGCTGTTATTTTATCAAGTTACTACAATTAGGTTGTCACTCACAACTTGTTGACAAAATGTTGAATTACAGGACGATAACAAGTTGTTGGAACAACTTGTAACAAGGATCTAATCTAAAATTCCACACGAGTCAGAACACGAATGGAACAAGAGTGAAATACAAGTCTTAATTGAACGACTAAAAACACTAATACATGTACGACTTATTAATAAGTTCCCCTACCCCGCATATCCTTGTGCAGTCCACCCTGAAGAGATGCTACTGCAGTGTCATGCCTAATATCACAATCCCCGGAAGAATCCATTTTGCTTTGTTCGTATATTTAGCTATTAAGAAGTCGTATTAGTGTTTTGTATTTCACTCGTGTTCCATTCGTGTTCTGACTCGTGTGGAGTTTTAGATCAGATCTGTAACAAGTCTGTTGAGCTCAACAAACTTGTCGTAAGTTGTCAACAAGCCGTAGACAACTTGTCAACAAGCTGAGAACAAGCATTGCTGCAAGTCTGCTGCAGGTTTGTTTGCAAGTTGTTCGTAGTACATGTGCACCTAATGAAAATCAATTAAATTTTAAAAAATATCCCCAATTATATTCGACAAAGTATGTAGGTGCATTGTTTTTTGTGTCCAGAGGCACTGAGTTTAACTTTCAGTTTCATCTTATATACACGATTTTGTAACGGCGAGAGGGGAAGCTAATGTTTAAATTGAAAACGTTTCTATTGGTTGATTTAGCAAAAAAAACAATACCGTTAAAACCTCCGAATATAAGGCCCAAATAAGCAAAAAGTAAGAATAATCACATTCACGTAATGTGAAAAATTTTGGGTCAACAGAATTTCTTTAAAATGCTAAGAGAAATCATTTTATGAAATAAATAAAATATGGGGGTCACCGATGTCGTTTTCGAGTTACTTTAAAGCCAAAATATCCGCCATATTGAGACGTCATTGTTGCCATCGCAACGGCAGTTACGTACACCTGAAGTATATGGTTAGAGCATGCACGGTCTGCAGTACAGTACTAGTGATCTTATATCATTGTGAGAGGGTCCTTGACAGACGATCATGACCGCAGCTAAACTAATCATTTTATTATTTATTAGTTCAAATTTGTGCGGATTTCTATTTCTATTGTTCTCTATAGGGTTTTATTTGGGTATAAGAATCCAAAAGCAAGGGGAGGAAATTTGATATCTCCACAGGAAAAAGCGGGGTTGATGAATAGAATTGAATTGATGACTAAACATTCACCAGGGTTTTATATACTTAGAAAACCCGGTGAATATTAATTCTATTAATCAACCCCGCTTTTCCCTACAGAGATATCAAATTCCCTCCCCTTGCTCTTAGATTCTTACCCAAATAAAAACCTATTGAGAACAAACCTTTGCTTCGACAAACCCATACAACTCTAAACTCTTCGTTATAGCGCTTCTACCTTCGGCTGAGCTATTTCTTATTTCAGCCCAATCTTTCTAAACACGAACTGCCCAGAGATGGCCGGTGTTGTGTCTTGTGCCTATATACGCTCAATACATGTTTCTCAAGATTCTCTGCCCGTTTGAGCACTGCAAATCCCGATGGTTCGTCATTTGCTTGCTCAAATTCTCTTGGCATAAATCGGGTCACGCCCCTCCCTCAGGTTGTATCTCGCTAAGAAACCTCGAATTCTCGGTAATTACTGTAACTAGTCTGTTACTTAAACTAATGTAGAAACAAACTGAATTTCGTTGAGAGAGAGCCCGCGAGCTATGTAATTTGCCGTGTTATGAGACTTTCGGTTTATAGAACATATTTACTTAAAGTGAAGTACTTGGATATTTCGCAAATATGACGCATGCAGTTTAGTTTGACTATATTAATTCCATGATCTCCATCACGCACGGCCAATATGTAAATAATTTATATAAATAGAATTGATCAAAAATTTACAATATACATGCCCCATAAATCAATTTGAACCAAATGCAGTTATTTCACTTTAAATAACTTGAATATGGCGTATAGCCAGATCTTTACTATCACTAAGTTCAATCCTTTTTTCAACACAGAGACCATAAGTTTGATAATTATCTGCCAGTGCAATTTTCACATGCAACTTTCAACATGCAACGTTAATATGTAAAAATTCCCTCGACGATACTTATTCCTATTCACTTCTTTCATACATCCTGGACGCCAGAGGTTTTTCCACACTCAAAACGTTAATTTTCAAATAGCAACAGACTGGCCCCTACCCTGCTGGCAGTGGTTTCTGAGCTCGGAAACCACTGCCAGCAGGCTAACTGGCCCCTTGCTCCAGCTCGCCTTGCCCTTGTACTGCTGTAGGCTTTATATTATGCGATATTTCAGCGAGCGTGGAACAACCCTCTGGCACCTACTGTATGCCATCGTCTTGTCAGGAAATGATGGCCTGGAAACCCGGCAAACATCAAAGCCATAAAATAGAAGAACTTTGTTTGATGTTGAACTGTGCCTCACCGTGCACAAATCCTTTCTCTCAACTTCAGTAAATATTATGATCATGATTGCACACTTCACCTTCACGATCACTTCATTATACGAAAATACAATGAGCGTGACCGTGCACAAATTCACCAAAAAACATAATACAATGATTACTGTTTAGTTTCCAGACCATCATATCCTGATGCTATGGTTATGCATGGCATGGTCACAGAATAAAGACATACAGAAGTGTATCTTCTTATTAAAAGTGCGTAAGGGATTTTTTCAGTCCGCCATGTTCTTAGCAAGTGCCCTAAAGAGAGGCAGTCACCCCCCTGAAAACATATTGAAAATTTAATATCCCAGGGGGGTGAATGCCTCTCTTTAGGGCACTTGCTAAGAACATGGCCGCCAGCTATTTCGGTAAAAAGCGCCTTACGGTTTTGTAATGGAAGTTACACTTCTGTATGTCTTTATTCTGTGGCATGGTCCTGTACCGAAACTGTACAGTATAACAACGATGTCTCCCAAACACTCGCACATGGATTCATTTTCAGTCTCTTCCTTCCAACATATCTTGCACAGTCTTTAATGTACATTGATCCATCTCGCCACCGATGGTAGATAGTACATCCCAAACCAATTGCTTTTGTTTCGGTTGTTGTGATATAAGCAGCTCACCAAAGAGGTAAATCCCCATTCCCTAGGAAAGCAAATTGTTAATTTCAGAATTCAAAAGAACACGAGCTACGAGCTTTTAACCAAGAACCAACTGCGAATGCAGCGGCAGCAGCGCTCAGCCCATGCGGTGACGCGACGGAATATACAGAACGGGAATTTAATATCAAGAATTTGTGAAAGACTGGAGTTAGAGTGCCACCTCGGATTGCTACAATCACAAAAAATGAGAAGATTCACCCCATCTATAATTACTCCTCCAAAGTGGCGAATTAATTATGCATGCAGCTACATACTTGATCTTCAATCAGAAATCGTTTCACTTGAGGATAACCAGGGTTGTATCTAGATGTATAAAGAAGAAAAAGATCACCGAAATCAACTGTGGACTTCCTTGAAGATTCACTAGACCCCCGCATTATGAAACCTTATGTAAATTTGGTAACAACTACATAAAAATCTCACTACTCTTTGCAATTTACAAGTGCTTAAAACGCCCGCAAAAGCAATAAAATGGATTCACTTGGTTTAAGCACCTAGCATTTTTATTTCCTGAGACATTGAAATTATTATTTAGTTACCTAGAATTACCTCCTACGAGGCTCGATTGAGGAGTGATTGAATCTTTCTCAACCGTTGGGACGTAGTAAAAAACTAAACAATATACTAATCCTCCCATGGCTTTCTACTGTAGGTTCGGGTACAGTAATTCCTGATAAACCTCAAAATCATGCTTTTTGAATACGAATACACGTGTATTCAATGTGAATACATTTTCTGGACTATACAGGGTGTCCAAAAAACCCCCAAACTATTTAAATAACGTATTGTTAGAATTTGAATGCCCTAGCACTAAACTGAACGCAAAGATGCGTAGAATATTGACAGGGTGCATATATTCCACAACACCTCAGTCCGGCGCACGCTGTATCTGGCCCTTGTAAGACCACACCTAGGGTATGCAACACAAATATGGGCTCCACAGTCCGTTGAACTGTTGAAACAAGTCGAGCGCACACAGAGAAGAGCAACTAGATTCATCCTCGAGTTACCATTTTCCAGTACCATGGACTATACCACCAGGCTCCAGGCTCTATCGCTGCTACCAATCTGTTATTGGCATGAGTACCTTGACATGGTTCTCTTTTACAAGATTACCCACGGACTTGTAGACATAAATGAATCTCTCCTTCCAACAATCCGCACCTCCAGACAAACTAGATCTTCCACCAGTACTTCCACCAAATATGTCATTCCGAAATGCAAGACATCCACCTATCAACGATCCTTCTTTATCCGATCAACTCGGATCTGGAACCTCCTCGCCGATCAACTAAAACTGGACACATGTGGTTTCTCTACATTTAAAACTGTCATTTTTAATTATTACTCTATGTCATTAAGAACTTGTTACAATGTCAACGACCCTCGTTCGTACAAAACCATTTGTCCAAAGTGTAACTCTGTTCGTAGTCTTAGTATTCCAATCTCGTGCTGCATGTGACAGACGTATTGTTGTTATTTTCATATGCTGTTTGTTGTTAGTTGATTATTGTATGTGTTAAATTTGTAATATTAGTTTTAATGTTAGTTTTACGGGGCCGTAGTAATTGGCTAAGTGCTGTTACGGACTCCCTGCCATTAATTGTAATATAGTTATCTACAAGGCAAAGCTAATAAATTAAATTAAATTAAATTATAAATATTGACTTATTAAGAAATTAAAATATCTTTGTAAAGCGCACGATTTTCTGCTCTTGGGAATTTAAAGCAGCTTTTTAAACAGTTTCTTTACGCATAAAATTTACTCATGTCAAGCTTTTATGCATGCACTTGTGAGTTCAACGGAGCTAGTACTGAGACATTCAAATTCTAACAATACGTTATTTCAATAGTTTGGTTATTTTGGGACACTCTGTAGTCTAAAGTGCGGGCTTAACATACCTGTGTTTTACAACAAGTTCGCACCAACGATGTCGAACCTAGATAATAACAATAGCGTCAGAACGCAATCGAACTCCGGTCGCAGAGGTGAAAGGCACCGATGCATTAACCACTGTGTCATTAACACCCCTCCCTGTTTTTCGTTCTATTATTAGAATAACAGAAAGTCGAATTGTGAAAAAATTATATACCTGGGGCCGGTTGTTCAAAGGTGTGTTAGCGCTAACCCTGCATGGGTTAAAATTTAACCTGCTGTTTTAGTTTATGTATTTCTGCAGGTCTGTTTATTTTGCAACTTCAGAGAAGAAAACTCCTACTGATTCAGACACGATCTCTGAAGAAATATTTCCAAATTTATAAACAAGCTGTTGGAAAGTTTGCTTTGAATTTTAGGTGAACCTATATAGGGTTAAGCTAACCCAGCTTTGAACAACAGGCCCCTGAACTGTTAAACTAACCTCGGCATTCTTCTGAGCGAAATGATAGCAATTATCTAGTTGCGTAAGAGTGGCTGTTGCTATGGCATCACGCTCAAGTAATCTTTCCAATAAGACAACCAACTGAATCTGGTCATTCTTAAATAAAGAAAAATAAACATTAGTATGCATTTGCAGTCACTTTCCAGGTGCGGTTGACTCTACGTTGTAGTTAACAATTATTCACCGAAGTGGGGGTGATTAATATAGTGCAAGGCTATACACCAATGCAGAGTGTCGAGGTGAATATATCCCATTCACCGACACTCAGATGAATAATTGTTTTAGCATATACCAAAACAAAACAAAAACGATCAAAAAGCAACGAAAATTGAAAACAATTTGTGTTACAGCTCCCACAATGGTAGTTGTAAACAAGACAGTATTTCTGTATTTACAAGATTAGTGATTTTATTCACTAGAGATGTTTTAAAGAATAACCGAGTGTACTGTTAATACTTTGAGGCTTTCCTTATATGTTTGCCAGAACCGTAGCTTCGTTTCGTATAAAGATGTTCTCGTCTGTATCATATTCGGAACAAAACAGAAACCATTTTTTTGTCCGGAGGTGAATAGTGCAAGGATATCCGGAGCGCAGCAACCAATCAAATTGCACGAAAAGTACTATTCACGTCCCGAGTATATGCTAATATCATATACCAGGGTTCGTATAGTCTCCAAGACCAAAAATATTTAAAAAGTTTCAAATATTTTTTTCTGCCTATTTTCAAAGACTTTTCAAAGATCTTTGAGAGCAGCTGTCGAAAAACTGCGAGTGTAAGGACCATTTTTACCCGGTAATTAGTCCGGTCAATTAGTCCGGTCAAATCACATCCTAAAATGCACCTTTTCGTCGATATTTGCGAAAATCTTGCTTCAATCAATCTACTTTATTAGCTAGGAAATCGTATAATCAAATACTCACTAAAGCATTTAAAGATTTTTAAAGACTTTCTTCGTTTTTTCACACAATTCAAAGACTTTTCATTAAAGACCTTAAAGACCTGGGGCCGGTTGTATCAATCCCGTTTAGCTTAAATGGTGGATAAGTCACAATTAAATAACACTCCTATATCTCTCGTGAATCAGTCAACTTAAATATTGTGCACTGAATAATTATGTAGTTGTAAACATTATCGTTCTATTAAGGTTCAAAACTTTTAGGTTGGTTGTTGAATGAATCTATAGACTTGCTTTCTATTTTGAACTTAATCACCGTTTAAGCTAAACGGGCTTGATACAACCGGCCCCAGCATTCAACTTTAAAGACTTTCAAGGATTTCAAAGACCGCTACGAACCTTGTGTACCAATAGAAGTACCTCTATTCTTCAAAATTATTATCTGACGGTGAACCAAACCAACTTAGTTTGGCCCAGTGATATTTATAATAGAAGACGGATTAGACGTCTGGTTAAATGTCCCGTTGGTTAAGTGCGCGTAATATAGATAAGAAAATACGAGATGAACAGTTGAACACAACACTAAGAATGAAATCACAAAAATATTTCGAATTGACCAACAGCTACAGTGTTTCTTAGCCAAGTGCGTCCAAGTTTACACGCCTCGCCTAAGCCAAGATGGCGGAAATTGGCGTCCAGTGACAATTCCTTTTCATTGTTTTTGTCCGTGCAGTCGGACAGGAAGCTGCCAGAAGTGGGCGGAAATTTCCTATTTTGAGACAATATTATGATTTTATAACTGAAAACTTCATTAGCGTTACGGTCCGTTAGAAAAAAACTGGAATTCGCTGGGAAAAAGTAGTACCAAAACTGTTTACAACCTTCATAGCTATTGGGCATCAATTCTGCCGTCTTAGGCCGAATGACTGAAGTTTCTGGTCCAGATATATCATGACAAGACGTCTGTTAGGTCTAATTTCCCGGGGGTTTTTTTATATTATACGTCTCAGACGTTAAAGACATATTTCAGATAATGATGGTGCGTGTGGTACTAAGCAAGGGAAAACACAGATCTGTTTTATACAAAGTGAAATACATACCACTGTAGGATGATCTTTAATTGGCTTTTTCGTTCTAATGTGTTGCGTCTTTTTTCTCTTGTTAACGGCATCCGTTTTCTTCCAGAAGCCAAACTAGAAAACAATACATAACATTATTAACATATAAGAAATGGTTGCACTTGTCTTAACTTCAAGGGAATTCTTCATTTTGTTTTTCCTGAAACACAGTATCGCTAAGGTGAAACCTATAACAGTGCAGTAAGTATAGAATAATATATTACCTCGCTTTCCACTTCGTTAATAAGATGATTATCAGGTCTACCGATTTTCTTTGGAACATGCTGAACAAAAAAACATGTAATGTCAGATGCACTCAAATTATCTATACCCTGGGTGTCAGAGGTGGTTTCACGCTCGCACTTTCCTGTAGAAAGTAGGAAGTTAAGGAGTGACGCCACCTCCAAAGTCTAAAGGGCTAACTCCAAACCAAAATATACACTTGAGTAACTTGTCTAATTCAAAACTGAGCTGAAATATTTATTTTATTTTATTTTATTTTACAAGATTCGCCGCACCAAACAAATATTAAACTTATTCAAATATCTACGAGTGCATTGGCTGGGACTGACCACAGAGATAAACTCCAATAACGGGGTCCCGACAAATATGAATTGTGGAGTTACTGGCTAACTCCAAAAATTATTTGAAGCTAGGTATAACTCAAAAAAAAATTTAAAACAGGGATGGATCCAGCATGATCTGGTGGGGGTGTGCTCTGCCAGCTCTGGTGCCGAGTTATGTCGGTCATGTGTGCCGCCCGCCCATCAACTTGGTTCACTACTGCAAAGTCTTGCTTGACTACTGTATTTGAACTGTAATTGTTGTTCACAGTTCACTTATCATCATGTTATGACCCAAAAATCGTTTGGAGCTAAGTATAACTCCCAGTAGCGTAGCCAGCCCGACGATTTAGTCCCGCTATGCAAATATTTTCGTGTTCATTGACTGTGAAAACATTCAATCTCTAAAGAAATGAATGAGAATAATTTTGAATTTACATATCGGGACTAAATTGTCGGGATGACTACGCCACTGATAACTCCAAAAATCATGAAAAAACTAGGTATCTAAGAATTGAGTTGCTGCCTAACTCCAAAAAGTATGTGTAGCGAGGCGAGCCAGCCTAGCCGCTAGGTATGTTAGCCTGCTCACAGACGTTGTAGTTCTTACGCCAAGCGACGAAATACTACCGTCTGCTTACCCGAGCGCCAAACTGAATTCCGCTATGTCGACCAATCAGAATTTACCATCCAAATTCTGGAAAGTGACGTCAGTTGATTTAGGAGCGGAATAAATATAAATATATATTTTGAAAGCAGTCGTCGGTTGAATTTTGGTCAAAATTGCACATAAATTGAATTTAAAGATACTGATACTTGTCCAGGTAATAAAATGCACCATTAATGATCAGATTTGGATATTAAAGATGTTCGGTTATATTTAAAACGTGGACAGGATTGGCATATTTATACTGTATGAATCTTAGCCAGACAGCATCAAATGCCGAATATATTTCGCTGAAATTTTAACGGTTTATCTTTATAAGACAACAGAACTCGGAAGACAGAAAATTTTATATTATACTGTGCCTTAGAAAGCGAAATATTAGCTTCAAAGTAAACTAATTTGCTGTTTGAGCAACCACTTCTGAATGTAAACTGTAAACACAACACAAACCCGAGAAACTTGTATTAAAATTGCGCCGTGATGAATTTTCCAATTCGCCCAAACTTCGAAACGTTTAATATACTCTAACTTGGCTATACTTTTCTACATGACAATGAGAGCTTAATCTTTTAGAAGTTTTCGTCGAAGTCATGGCATATAGGAAGTATCAAGAGCAACATTTGAACATATCCGGATATACTCGAGTTTCCCAATTGATTGTTTGTCATTATTAACAAAAATTTAAATTTCGCCTACTGCATTGCTTTAGCACTTTATATACACCAATTGTTTGCTGAACATGCGAGAAGATGATCACAATATTATTCTACGTAAACATCGTGAAGTTGAACGCTATAGTTTCCAAAATATATCCACGCAAGTAAAAAAATTTCAAGTTTCAACCCAAACAATATATTCCAATGCATGTGCAACGGCTTTCCCCAGTAGCTAATCTCTCAATAAGGCGGCTTCCAATTGGCTCTAACTTTTTTGAACACTGCCAGATGATTGGCTCCTAAAACAAAGGGAATTGAATATGGCGCTCGGGTAAGCAGACGGTAGTATTTCGTCGCTTGGCGTAAGAACTACAACGTCTGTGAGCAGGCTACTAGGTATGTAAGCTTGAAGTTACTTGCTGTGTTGCTAACTCTAAAATTCATTTGGAGCTTGTTATATAAGCCTGATGTTACTGACTAACTGGAATAACTGCAAGAATGCACTCTCAGAGTGCACTTCTATATTCTGTATTAAATAAATAACATATGCACTTGTTAAGACTAAAATACCCAGAGTATGCGCATAAACATGACATTGGCACACTTGACATTTTGTTCTTGTTCAGAGGCTAAATTTTGATCTGCAGTTGCGGCAAATGCGGCGCAACCCATTCTCGTACCCCGTGACCCTTGTCATGCTCTGTTGACCGTGTATAAGACGGGTTCTGGGTACGAGAATGTGGCATAGTTCCATCTAAAGATCAGCTACCTCCACAAAAATAAAATCTACAGGTATGGCTCACAGAAATACAGCATAATGTAAAGCCTAGTGTTTTATAGCCAGGGTGAACACCAAACGTGATTGGCTGATTTGTGATCAATGCAATGTATCCCGCCAGGCAACAAGTAAAAAATTGCTCCTCTCTGTATTCAATTCTATATATGTTAATAATAAGACCACACGTGTTCCCAAGGACTTCTTATGGGCGCGTGTGGATGAAGTCTTCTCCCATGCATTGTCTTCCCTGGAGCACCCGCAAGGAAGCCCTGGAAATGAGGTGTCAAGATGAAAACACTAACCACAGGTAGGCCATGCCGCTCTAACCATTCTTGCATTAATCGATCTTTTATATTCTCTTCCCTAAAATAAACATGAATAAACAGGATGAGTACGAGACATAAGAATTGATAATTCTTTACGTTGCAGTTAATCACATGAGAAGTATAGAACTAAAGCACCTTCTTTCGACATGGTAAACCTACCTCAAAGAGGTAAACCTTTTCTCAAAATATTCAAAAAATTCCTAGAAAAGAGGAAATAGTTACCGGGTGGAGTTTTTTCAGAGGGTGTGCATTACTAGGGTTTCCGAGGGCATGCTCCCCCAGAAATTGTTTGAAATTTGAAGCCCTGAAATGTCATTTCCTGCATTCTGAGCACTAAATTTATTTGATTTGTCCTCACGGTACTTGTATTTCAAGCAAAAATAAATATAAAAGTAAATATAATGTTCTACACCGAATGATGATCGTCTTAACCCAGCAAAAAAATCTTTCGTTGAAATCATTTTGAAACAGTAGCATATCAGCGAGACAAACACGCATCTGATGTGGATAACATGCATGTATAAAATTAATGTGCTTAACCTATAACACGGTCTAAACCACCTGCTAACTAACTATGGTTACAGCAACCCACCCTATTAGCACATACTCGAAATTCAATAGTTTCAAAATATAAGTAATATTCACAACTTAAAAAGCGAGAAATCTAAACTTAATACGAATAGCAGAGTTTAATTTTGAAGGGGATGCGGGACACCACTAGAAGGGGTGCACACTGCTCCCCCACCCCCCTGCTAGATCAGTTAACATCTGCATCAGCAACACTTTCTCGTGTACTTATTCTTTAGAACCGAAATTGGTAATAAGCAGAACGCTTAAATGTTTTTATGAGGAAACCACGTCTTGTAAAAGCCTGCATCATTTAATTACCTGTATCATGCATACTGTACCTAACGCATGGTGCTATTTATATCCTCCCATTTATCAAACAAAGCAAACATGTATTTGACTACACAACCATTTGACTTAACAGCCGCGACGTACCTCAGAGTTAACAAGTTTTCCACCATATTCTAGCACATACTCCTTGAGAAAATTATCAAAATTCGTCACGCCCACCAGAGATGCCATATAATGAAGTAGAAAATAGCCCTAAAGAAAATTGTATACGTAAAATTGTCATAATTATGACTTGATTCTTGTGAATGAGCGCTCACACACAACCACTCGATTTTAGCCAATTGTTAGGGATGTGCCGGATACTGTTTTGCCGGATACCGGATAGTACTGACTCGTTGTTTGTGTTTCACAATATTTTATAACGCAAAACAGAAGGTTTTGTGGTTATCATAAAAGTTCCAGTATACTATCCGGTAAATATCCAATAAATTTTACCGGGACACTTGATGGTGCCGATGTCTTCATTTTGCCGGATATTGGATACTGGTATCTGGATCCGGCAATTGTTCCTATAGATACCCAAAGCAAGGGAAATCACGTACCTGCCGCACCTGATTCGATGCTGGACTATACCAGCCATGTTATGCGTGAGATTGGAAACGGGTAGGTTTCTGCTCTAGCCTCTAAGGATTTACAGTAGGCACAGAATCGTCATATTTCTCTTATTATTTATACGATAAAAAACTGGCAGAACAAAAAAAGTCCATAAACACTACACATGCCTGAATCACGTTCATTTGTTTTACAGGTAATTGACATTGTAGTGACATCAGTGACATGCACATTCTGAAACATCATGTAAGATTTACCTTGAGATAATATATCTGTGTCCACTTTTTTGAACAAACTTGGCCATTGGTAACGGTAGTATGAGGAACATCATCACTTTTATCTCCAGTTTTCTTCTCCACGCTCTGACGAACAGCTTCCGCAGCTATAAACATGATATTTAAAGATACTATGATTTTTCTGTATGTAAAAACAATTTGAATTGTGATATTTACTGTGTTGGTGTAATGTACTCAGGTGAATAAGATGCTTGTGATGTTACTCTGAGTGTATATCCACACCGGGCAGGCTTGAAAAATATGCCTGGCCACGGTGGGAATCGAACCTAGAGTAACATCACAAGCATCTTATTCACCTGAGTACATTACACCAACACAGCAAATATCATGATTATTAGATTACATTGATATCGAAGGAACTAGATTCAGATCCGAAATATCACATACTCGAACCGACCTGACCGCGTAGCTCAGTTGGCAGAGCATTGGGCTAGCCTAGTATTCCAAAGGTCGTAGGTTCGATTCCCACCGTGGCCAGGCATATTTTTCAAGCCTGCCCGGTGTGGATATACACTCAGAGTAACATCACAAGCATCAATTTGAATTGTCTAAAGCAACTTGTTTATAAGTTCAACAGTTATCTCATTGGTTTACGTCTATTTCGCTTATCAATATTTTTACAACATATTGTTTCAAACTAAGTAGATCACAACGTGCTTACCAGTGACCACGCTTGGTAACTTTGGCCTAAGAAAAGTGAAAAAAAGTGGTTACTAAAAATACATGGTACATATCATGAATGGTTAAAAAAGTTATAAAGGACGAAATGTTTAGGAACTAAAACATATTCACAATATCTAATTGAAAAAAAATATTAGATATCACACTTTACAATTGCCAGTTACAATCTATATGCAGTGTAAAACTTGGTTATGGACGCTATATTTTCAGCTAAAATGACATTTCATTATATGACAATTATATTAGCCAAGATGCTTAGTTACTGTATATGTCGATTTTGACTGAAGCTGCTATCATAAGAAAACGTTTTATACCTAAGACGTTGCATGTTTTCATCAGCATGCTGAAATTCAGCTAGTAAGGTTCTGTGTTTGAGAATTTGATACAGTTCTACGTAAAACAATTCTTCATCACCTTCCCACTAGTAACAAATAAAACAATTAATGTACATAGAAGTAATTGAAAACAGCCTGGATGTAGACAATCCCGTTGCATGGTTGAGCTGGCAGACGCATGCACCTATAATTTTCACAGAAATTACGGAAATTCGCAATCTCACATAAGAAGTGAAAGGAATAGACTCTTTTTTGGTTGGTGCAACTGAAAAATAAACGAAATGAACGGTAAGTCTAATAAAAAGATTGTCGTTTCTTCCCGGTTGAAATGTTTACAACGGTCTAGTTGGTACAGTACACGTATGGGTAAATATCAGGGGGCATCTACACTCGATATAAATTAACTATTGCATGAGGGGTTTGTAGATGGAAATTTCAAGTGTAAATTTCATACATTGATTAGACGTAACAAGGAGCAGTTGCGAAAAATGCAACTATAGGTCCTCTCCATTGAACTATAAATAAACTGGAAGGCTAACTGCTATGATGAAGGCCTATGATTCGATGAAGCCAAAATAGTTTTTCTGAGTTATGAGCAGAAATACTTGACCCCAAACGTCGGGCTATATATCAAATTGAAGCTATTGAAAATTGCTATTCGGTGTGGAAATTTCAAGACTTCAGCGAAAAGAAAAATATTTAAAAAATACAAAAACAACTGCAAAACGGCAAATTATCGGTAATTATGTTTGTAGTTTTTCAATATTTCCCTTTTAGCTAAAGTCTTGAAATTTCTACACCAAATAGTGTTTTTCAATAGCTTCAATTTGATATATAGCCCAATGTTCAGTGTTGAGTATTTCTGCTCATAACTCAGAAAAACTAAAATGCACTGGCTTCAATTTCCCCCCCTGAGTTAGCCTTCCAGTTTATTTATAGTTCAATGGCCCTCTCTCCTTCGCAGAGGCTTTTTAGAAAGTTGATATAAAGAAAACCACCGCTGACCGATTGAGGGAGGAACCAAGGCCGGCGAGAGCCAACCACGGCCCCCGGGACAAAATGACGATTGGTGAACACGGGCCCCCTGTCCCTCTCGACTCTCCCGCTTGCTATTTTTAATCGCAATCAACGAGAGAATTGCCAGCGAATTACTTCGGCAAGAAATCGCCACATAACTGATAAAAACGCAATGTGAACGATGTTCAGCTAACTGTTCTTGCTGAGAAAAAGATCGAAAAATCGTTTATTTCACATTTGGTACGTTTTACAATCGATGACGACGGTCATCGAATCGAATAGTGTGCAAGTAGGCGTATTTCATTTAGGACAAACATAAAGCGATGATAAACAATACAAACATTTTACCGAGACTTCCGGACCCCTCTGAGCACTCCGGGCCCCGGGTATTTTGCTCCCTCTCGCTGGCCTTGAGAGGAAAGATTTCATTTTACTTCGCGCCTACGTTCCTCTCTTCCCTATAATCAGCGGAAGTTCCCCACGCTTCCCTTTACAACTTCATGTGGACACATAATAGTTAATGTTGGAAACCTCTGCGGAAGAGAGAGCTATAGGCCCTTCGACAGGAATCGGACCTGCGGCAATTGATGATTCCCCTTATTAGGTTTTCGTAGCGCTTTGCATTGTGGTTATAGTGGTATCACTGATATTCAAGATGGCTATGGCTTATTTTTTGTCCTGACCCGTGCAAGAACTTTTAAAATAAACTAGGGTCAGGTGCGCGATAGCTAACAGCAAAATATTCGTGAAAACATTCAATATTTTCATTCGAAGCCGCTATCTTTATCAGTGATACCACTATAACCACAATGCAAAGCGCTACGAAAACGTAATAAGGGGAAATCATGAATTAGTTATAGCGAGTGTAAATGTCCAAACTCCTGATATTTACCCATGTACCTTACATTGGCATCACCATAGTACATATATGCGTGAACTTCCAGTTAGAACTCGACCGCTGGCTTCTGTGGCTCAGTTAGTTGGAGCCCTGCATGCACCGGAATCGTAGGGCCGGCAGGTCCTATAGTTGCATTTTGCGCCACTGCTCCTGTTTATGTCTAATCAAATGTATTGAACTCATACTCGAAATTTCAATCTACAAATCCCAGTACACGTCCTACAGTTTATACTGGATAGAGCGCTCTATCAGATCTATAAGTTTTCATCCCTAGAGGTCCCAAAAGTGACTTTCCCATTGTTTCGAAGTACCCAGAGAAAATGTTCACACGTTAGGTTCGTATACACTGCCACTACGCTATGAATACATCAATATACCTACGCCTTCTACTTTACAAAGTATCCTTTCCTCCATATAAGTGGCGAAACCTTCACTCAGCCATTCCTCGGACCAATCTTTTGCCCCAATTAGTAACCCGAACCACGAGTGCGATATTTCGTGAGCAACACGTGTACACATGCTTCCGTCACGTGCCAATATCGACTGAGAAAGGAATGCCATATTTGGACTAAAAAGAGAAGTAAACAAGGTGTCAGCAATGTTGTGGTTCCCGTGATGACTGCATAAATAATTAGTATTTAGGAATATTCCTCACAAAGAGTCCTTTTTTCAAAACAGCGCTATACACATTCCTGTGCGGAATATAATTGCATGAATGATCCAATCCCAACAATGTTCTCAAAGGCTTAGACAATACATCGAGTTATTCATGACTGATTTTCAATACACACCTCATCAATCCCATACAAGCAAAACATCTTGGTAATATTACTAAATCCATTCTTGAAAAGGGATAAGGTCCAAGCATTTCACACGCAGCAGTAACATACTTTGTACAGCGAGGTAATAGCTCTTCAGATGCTTCATTAATAACACTTGTCGCACTGAACACACGACATGGTATGGTGGATGACAAGGCAACCGTTGATGTTTGACGACATTCAAACCAACCAATAGCAAGAGCTAATGTTGAGCATGGTAATGGGATATTCATCTCATATAAAAATGTCGCTAAAAGAAATAGGAATGTCGTCAGAATTTCCCTTCGTTTCGTTTATAGCGAAATTTGAAATGCAACCACTTCACGCGTGCTCATTCGATAACATCGCAGCGTATAAACGTACCTTAAGTTCTCTATTATCGTCTGGGATTTCGTTTATTATGTTAATTATTAATACGGTATAGTCATTTTAAAATCAGCTAGATCAGTTATGATCGACCCAACTTATTGAACATTTTATTACGTTTGTTTATATTATATTATATTATATACCTGAGTATATGTTCTGACATTATAGTTGTTAACTAAAAATACAGTTCAAGTTAACAGGGCAAATTTCAATGGGAAATGAAATTTGTTCGAGTTAAGCGAGTTCGAGTTTAACCGGAATAAATTATTGTAAAAGTTGGCTCAAATCCAGGGAAAATTGGATTTAGTTCGAGTTAGTGGGGAGGTCGAGTCAAGCGAGTTCGAATCACCGGGCTACTGTATATCAGTTATCACCGTTTACTTTCCTTATTCAAAATTGCTACCACCTAATATACTCTAATGTTTTGTTGTCTTCCAAGGGCAACAGTCCAGAACATTTTCCAATTCCGAATGTACTATACATGCCTAAAATGTATATCCAAACAATGTAACCAGAAATCTATTGCATATGCAAAACAGACTGTAGGGCATAATCTTTATTGGGATATATAGGGAAGTGAGCTTTGCATTATCGCTAATAGACACTCATTACAACTCCGCAGAGCGCTCAACAACACCGAGGTGAAGGAGCGTAATAGTACAATCTGCAGACATGCATGTTTCGGCGTTCTACGCCTCGTCAGTGCAGCTTGGTACACGTCTAGATACGTGAGACACTCGTATTTATATCCCATGAACTTGCTCTCACCAAGGCATGTGGTACAACACGGTGACTCAACACACCCAGACATGCGCAGAGCGTAATGGGGTCAGAGTGCTCAAACGACCACAAGGGAAGTGAGCTTTGCATTATCGCTAATAGACACCCATTACAACTCCGCAGAGTGCTCAACAACACCACGCAATAAACTGCATACCAATATCTGCATCATCTGAGTTCTGCACCGGTAGTTGATTACCACTCATTAATACTGTACATCCTTTAGGTACATGTATTGCAGCTTGCCACGTTGACATCGCAATTGGAGGTTCTTGACATGGCATAAGAGAACGATTGTTGATATATGCACCGGGAGAGAAGACACATGGTCTAAATAGAAAATGCACAGAAGAAAATGTTGATGTGCCATACGTTTGACTGCACGGTAGAAAATAAATAGCGAGCTTAAGCAAGCGACGTTTTTTGTCAACACGGACGTCAGATTGCCGAGGAGGGACTGGATTAAAAACTGTGTTCGTATCAGTTTGTGGTAATCTTCAACACATATGACAAAGGGAACATTATTAACTGTAAATCCTCCATTAAGCCCACGTCGCACATACGCCCCCATATTTAACAGGTCACTAACAGGTTTTCAAGAAAAAATTTTAATCCCCCTTTCTTTTAACCTCTGCTTCTCCTTTTGAAACAGATGTGAAACAGAGTTGATTCATTAATTGTTCTGGGCGTTGGATTTTAGTATTTAGCCTAATCTTTCACGTTACCATCTTTTGTAAGTCAGACTTGTTTTGTATATATGTACATGTTTAATTATATATATATATATATATATATATATATATATATATATATATATATATATATATATATATATATATATATATATATATATATATATATAGATTGTCTATATCTTAAAATTAAATATCGCTACTCTGAGTTTCACGTCCTCACGTTTCACGTTTCAGGCAACCAAAACAAATTGAATTATATATATATATATATATATATATATATATATATATATATATATATATATATATATATATATATATATATATATATATATATCACGTAATCAGTAACAAAATCGTGAACAAAATCGCCTGATGATCGTCTAGAAAGGACGTGAAACTCAGAGTAGCGATATTTAATTTTAAGATATAAACAATCTAATAAGCTTTATATATATATATATATATATATATATATATATATATATATATATATATATATATATATATATATATATATATATATATATATATATATATATATATATATATATATATATATATATATATATATATATATAATTCAACATCGTATTAGTCTTTCTCACGTGGGCCAATATCTGCCATTTTTGGGGTGCTGTATTCCCACATCAGAGAACTTATAAATAGTTTAAAGGGTTTAATAGAGGATTTACGATAGTTCCCATGTACCTGTTATCTTGATCACTTGTCCAGGTTAATGACTTTCCCTCGGGTCTTGTACAATACTTTATTCTCACACAACGTGGCCATGTTGTACCCAGCTGGTAAGGTTTCCATATCCTAACACACCAGTTACGTACAGCATAAGGCAGTAAAGTGTAGGGAAGAGCAACAGGAACTTTCTTGTCCACTTGAAAAACATCTGGTGGATACGGAGCACACCTTGTGTGATCATCAGTAGCACCATATTGTCTTACACTAAAGTCATCTTTCAAATTGATTTCCTCGACAGATTCAATGTCCACTAAGGAACAATCTAAACATAACTGAAACTGTCTTTGTACGACTAGTTCGGTAGCAGGTTTTAAAAATAATGTTATATCTCCACTCATAACTTTGTCACTAAAATTAACACTTAAACTTAACACATAATGTGTGACCAAGACTTCATCAACATTTGCCATCAAAGGCAAGTCATCACTTGTGTTCCACTTACTGTCAGAACATGGTCTATCTGTTTCATCATCTGTCACACATATATACTCGTCCTCATCATCAGGCTCGTGTATTTTATCCTCGGGAAGCGTTCCATTATCACAGTGACCAACCGTTGAACTACTGCAATCATTTACAGTAGAATTTAGGGAAGAAACTGTACCTTTCTCCATATTAGAAAGATTTTCACTAGCTTTAAGCGGTAAAGCCATCTCCATACTAGATCCACCAGCCGTTGAACCACTACAATCACTTACGAGAGAATTGAAGGAAACTGTACCTTTCTCAACATTGGAAGAATTTTCAGTTTTGTCTGGTAAAGCCACATTCGTACTAGATTCACCAGGCGTTGAACTACCACAATCACTTACGAGAGAATTGAAGGAAACTGTACCTTCCTCCACATTGGAAGGATTTTCAGTTTTGTGTAGTAAAGCCACTTCCGTACTAGATTCACCAGCCGTTGAACTACCACAATCACTTACGAGAGAATTGAAGAAAACTGTACCTTTCTCCACATTGGAAGGATTTTCTATTTTGTGTGATAAAGCCACCTTCGTACTAGATTCACCAGTCGTTGAACCACTACAATCACTTACGAGAGAATTGAAGGAAACTGTACCTTTCTCCACATTGGGAGGATTTTCAGTTTTGTCTGGTAACGTCACCTTCGTCCTAGATTCAACAGCCGTTGAACTACCACAATCACTTACGAGAGAATTGAAGGAAACTGTACCTTTCTCCACATTGGAAGGATTTTCAGTTTTGTCTGGTAAAGCCACCTTCGTACTAGATTCACCAGCCGTTGAACCACTACAATCACTTACGAGAGAATTGAAGGAAACTGTACCTTTCTCCACATTGGAAGGATTTTCAGTTTTGTCTGGTAAAGACACCTTCGTACTAGATTCACCAGCCGTTGAACCACTACAATCACTTACGAGAGAATTGAAGGAAACTGTACCTTTCTCCACATTGGAAGGATTTTCAGTTTTGTCTGGTAAAGACACCTTCGTACTAGATTCACCAGCCGTTGAACCACTACAATCACTTACGAGAGAATTGAAGGAAACTGTACCTTTCTCCACATTGGAAGGATTTTCAGTTTTGTGTGGTAAAGCCACCTCCGTACTAGATTCACCAGCCGTTGAACCACTACAATCACTTACGAGAGAATTGAAGAAAACTGTACCTTTCTCCACATTGGAAGGATTTTCAGTTTTGTCTGGTAAAGACACCTTCGTACTAGATTCACCAGCCGTTGAACCACTACAATCACTTACGAGAGAATTGAAGGAAACTGTACCTTTCTCCACATTGGAAGGATTTTCAGTTTTGTCTGGTAAAGTCACCTTCGTACTAGATTCAACAGCCGTTGAACCACTACAATCACTTACGAGAGAATTGAAGGAAACTGTACCTTTCTCCACATTGGAAGGATTTTCAGTTTTGTGTGGTAAAGCCACCTCCGTACTAGATTCACCAGCCGTTGAACCACTACAATCACTTACGAGAGAATTGAAGAAAACTGTACCTTTCTCCACATTGGAAGGATTTTCAGTTTTGTCTGGTAAAGACACCTTCGTACTAGATTCACCAGCCGTTGAACCACTACAATCACTTACGAGAGAATTGAAGGAAACTGTACCTTTCTCCACATTGGAAGGATTTTCAGTTTTGTCTGGTAAAGCCACCTCCGTACTAGATTCACCAGCCGTTGAACCACTACAATCACTTACGAGAGAATTGAAGAAAACTGTACCTTTCTCCACATTGGAAGGATTTTCAGTTTTGTCTGGTAAAGACACCTTCGTACTAGATTCACCAGCCGTTGAACCACTACAATCACTTACGAGAGAATTGAAGGAAACTGTACCTTTCTCCACATTGGAAGGATTTTCAGTCTTGTCTGGTAAAGCCACCTTCGTACTAGATTCACCAGCCGTTGAACTACCACAATCACTTACGAGAGAATTGAAGGAAACTGTACCTTTCTCCACATTGGAAGGATTTTCAGTTTTGTCTGGTAAAGTCACCTTCGTACTAGATTCAACAGCCGTTGAACTACCACAATCACTTACGAGAGAATTGAAGGAAACTGTACCTTTCTCCACACTGGAAGGATTTTCAGTTTTGTCTGGTAAAGCCACCTTCGTACTAGATTCACCAGCCGTTGAACTACCACAATCACTTACGAGAGAATTGAAGGAAACTGTACCTTTCTCCACATTGGAAGGAATTTCAGTTTTGTCTGGTAAAGCCACCTTCGTACTAGATTCACCAGCCGTGGAACCACTACAATAATGTAAGGAAGAATTTAAGGAAGAAACACAATATTTCTCCAAATTGTAAAGATTTTCAGCTTTATATGGTAAAGCCACTTCCGTGCTAGATTCGCCAACTGTAGAACTACTACAATCATTGACGGTAGAACAGAAGAAAACTGTACATTTCTCCACATTAGAAAGGTTTCCAGCTTTATGTGGTAAAGCAGGTAAAGCCCTCTCCGTACTAGATTCACCAACCGTTGAATCACTACGATCATTTATGGTAGAATTTATGGAGGGAAATATACATTTCTCTACACCAGGCAATACTTCACACGAACTAGAGCTTGCTTCACAACATTTATCGAGTGCCGTTGTGTCACTGGTGCATGTTCTTTCGTTGCTACTGTATATCATACTGTCAGTTGCGGATTTATAAGTTAAAGATGACGCATTAATAACATGATTTTCTTGCTCAGAACTGCAAGACATGCAGTTTGAAGATTGACTTATCAATCCTGAAATGGGACATTCCTCTTTGTTAAAACATGAATTAATACTTGGACTTTCAAAATCTGCTGTGCTTTCGGCAACCATGTTGACGTCTTCTTGGGAATGTGATGTGATATTACTAAACTGCTCCTCTACCTTTGCTTCCTGATATTCTTGGTCGTTTGCAACATGGGCTGTTTTATCGCTGCATAGTTCTCCCTTCAGATGCGATGCACTTGTTTTCGGTAAAGACAGCAAGCACAGACCTGCTTTCCGTGATAAGCCGGATAAGACATACGAAGTTTCCATATAAACATCTTCTAGTGTCCAGTGTGAGATTCCTGGGCCTTTATATTGTTTGTATTTCAAATGAGCTGGACAAAAATAAAAATCGATAATAAGAAATGAGAACATGTATAAATTGAATCATTGACATCAATTAAAAAATCAAACGTATGCTTCGAAAACAATTAAAAGAAGATACGAAGTATGCAGAGGCATAATAAAAAATTAAATTTTATAGTGTAATGAAATGGAAATGTAATAAAGGCCGCCCAGAAAATGTGTCACATATTACTATTACAAACCTGGTATGTGACCTTTGCCTGATATCCGTTCCCCATTCTCCCCAATAGCAAGATGGATCATATACAGTAAAACTGGGAATGTGTTAACTGGACTTGATTTCTCATCATGAACCAAACCAGTGGCGACAATATGGAATTTCGTACTCGACGTTGGCATTACATCTTTGGAGTTTATAATGTTTAGTCGAGATTTCAAGAAATATGCCTGCATAGATGTTATTTCTTGGAAATGAATTCCATAACAAGAATCGAGCCTTTTTGAAGAATAGAGTTCTTGTTGCATAATGTCCAACAAATTAAGATGAGTCCAACAAGAACCCAATGCTACGAAGAATAATTTTTCCTCCGTGTTGGAGACGGAATGAATACATGAATGAAGTCTTTCTTTCCAAGATGTTTTGCCATCGTGACAAGGTAACAAAGTGTATTTGCACTTTATATCAGACATTTGTCGCATTTTGAGATTAGCAACTAGTGCATTTGCTAGGGCCTCATGAGTTTCTTGTGATCGCTCATCATTAGAATCATAACCAATTAAAATAACAACATGTAGACATGAATTCACTTGACCAGGGGCAGATACCTAAAATAACAAAACACTTGTAAAGTAAAACTTGAGGTGCAGTATCAAGAAGTTGTTGTTAATTTTCAGCCATCGTATTTGCTCAGTTGGCGGTCTGGCCGAATGAATGACAAGGATTCACTGAGATTCACGATTAGATAGACGGACGCACTCACTCACTCACTCACTCACTCACTCACTCACTCACTTGATGGTTACAATACATGATAAAATCCGTTTCTGATAGAGTGACCAACCAATTTATTATTTGGGTCAAGCAGTGCTGGCAAATGTTCGGCAGCACCAGCAACACCACGCCCGGAAAATTCCTAACAAGATATCTTCGCAGGACGTTTTCTTACGTCTTACAGGAAATTTTGGAATTCTATATAACATGCTTACTGTTTAAAAAGTTAAAGTGTTTTCAAGTGAAGTCAAAATTATCTTACATGCAGAGATTGAAGTTTACGACCACATTCTCAGAAATATGCAGAAATACAGTATGTAGGAAGTTTTAAATTTGGTTCACACAGAGACATTTTTATTTTGGGATTTTGCTGCCAGGACAAAAGTATATTACGTTGAAGATGTGTAATTTGAAAATTTAGAGAGAAAAGTAATACACCTGTCTCAAAATGGGCCTAACAATTCATGGTTGAAAGGCATATTTATTCCTTAGGTTCAAATCCGTGATCAGAAAACTGCGCTTATGCATGGGGACTATACTACTGTAGATTATGCATAAAGCCCGGTACCGACGGGCAAGTTTTCCTTGACAAGTTTTATTTGCTGGTGTGTACGGAAAAAAATTGACAAGTTTTCCTTAACAAGGAGCCTTGTTCAAAGTTAGTCATGCCAGCTTTTCAACAAGGAAAATTGCTCGTGTGTACGGCCGTCAAGGAAAACTTGACAAGGAAATGCGCAGTAGGGAACTATGCGTTATATAATGCGGGCTCGTATAAAATTGTCAAGTTTTGTCGTACACACGAGCAAATAAAACTCAAGGAAAACTTGTCACGGAAAACTTGTTCGTCGTACACACGAGCAAGTGTACTCGTCAAGAAAACTTGTCAAGGAAAAATTGCTCGTCTGTACGGGGCTTAAGAATACTCTGAAAATTTTTATCTTCAGGTTGGGCTCACAGGAAAAAATATTCCTCCACCATTGGGTGTGCATTGTAAATATTGTTGAAAAAACGAACTATTTAATAACAACGATGTATTTATTAACGTCGAAACATCGGGTAATAAGTTGTTGTCTTTGCATTCGTTAAGTGAATATGTGTTATCGCATAATTTTGAAATACAAAAATACACTGGTGTAGATATCTTACCCCTTCATCTGTACATGGACTTGACGCTTTTCTACCAATATCTTGGGAAGACAAAACCTCCAAACCCATTTCCTGAGCTAAATCTGGAAAAGCTTCGCCTCTAGCAGAACGGATGGTATTCTTCAGCGTATTGCCCAAACTATCCCCATCGTCGACAGGACCTACTGATGCTGACAATGATACATAAAGATCTGCTACTTGAGAACCTGTCTCGTAGACCTCCTTAGTACTACCAGTTAACGTACAATGAAGTTTGCTTTTTAACCATTCAACGTCAACTGGCCAGTCCTAGAAAAATCAACACAGGATAATAGTACTGTATTTCTACATCACTAAATCCACTCCTTCGCTATTTGCCGCCTATTTTCCCCGTGCGGTTTGCTACCCAAATATGGAGGACAAGGCCTGGTCGCATGGTGTAAGAAAAGCTAATTAAAATATCACCGTTACCTGATGTGAACAATCCAGTTTAAGAGCGAAACATGAGGAAATATGAATAGCAGACAACGACTGACCCAGCTTATCTTGAAGGACTTGAACAAAATCATGAAGGGAACAAAACTCTTCATAATTAAAACATCTTGACATAACAGATGGTGTACATGAAAATACCTGGAAGACGAGTGAAAAAACAGCATACACTTATAAACTATTTTTACATTACTGTAGTAACAACTAGTAAAGGCCGAAAAAGTTTTTAAACATTTCCTACAGATACGCGCAGTGAACTGGCGAATTTGTTCTTTTTCGAATCCAATGCTCTACCAACTGAGCTACGAGTCGGTTCAAGTCGATTCGAGTAGGTGATATTTTGAAACTCAGTCTAGTTCCTTTGATATCATACATTCATGATCTTACAAAACATTACTGATATCGAAGGAACTATAGTTTGGAAATATCACGTACGGTCGAGCCGGATTTTGGTGGAAATGTTGGAGGTAGAAATGGTCTGGCCCACGGCCTCCCCGGGATGTTAACCCCCCGAAGTTAACTACGTAACGAATACATCTACTGTACAGTAAGTCGCATGCATCAATGTATCCACGAATTATGACTGTACAACTCATTCAATTTCGCCCCTCGTCACAATACTACGAAGTTTCGAAACACTGCATTAAAAGGTTAAATGACACAGAGATGTAGACCTTAAGCAACACAACAAACATTAAAGTTAACTGTCAAGTTTGAGTCAAATTTTGACTTCGTTATATCATTTATTGACCTTTCCTAAGGGGAGGTGGATGAATTTTGGGGGGGGGGGGGGGCAAAACGATCACATGGGAGGTGCGCATCTCCCCACACCTCCCCTCAAAATCCGGGCATGCTCGTAGCTCAGTTGGTAGAGCATCGGACTAGCAAACCAAAAGGTCGCGGTTTCCGGCGATTCCCACCACGATCAAGCAGAGATTGTTACCTCGTGCCATACAGGTTACTTTTTGCCAGGTAGGATCACCAATACGTACAGAACGTGTGCTCCAAAATTTTATTTATTATAGTTATACAAATTTTGATTGGTTATACACATTGTATATATTCATACTTATCTGACTTCGTCGTTCATGTTAACTCTTCAAGAGCGTAAAAGGAACTCACTAACTTATGTAACACAGTCTATATCATGCACTATTACATATTAACTAAAGTAAACTTTTTTCCTCTCCAACTTTTACTATGATAATTACGTCAATGGATTTGGCTCCACCCTTTGGTGAAGGTGAAATTCCAGGACTTTCAAGGCCCTTTTTCAGTAAATTCAAGGATCTAGAACTGGGAAAAATCTTTGAAAATGGCACGGATTTGCCGTACATAATTCAATTTATTCAGTAATTTTAATCAAAATCCATAATGTTGGCACAGCTGGAGGTTAAGGAAATTAATTCCAGGACTTTCAAGGACTACTACTGATTTTCAAGGACTTTCCAGTGCTGGAATTTTTTTTTCCAATTCAAGGACTTTCCAGGATTTTCAAGGCCCGTGGACACCCTGTGGCTCATAAACTCTAAACTTAATTGAATTAATACATTGACACATATAGCACATTCGATAGAAGTATATCCTTGAAACATATAACGGCAATTGTAATTATCTATGGCCACGATTATATACAGACAGCATTAACGCACACTAACCTGCCCCTGTGAACTTGAATGGCAACTTAACATAGCAATAACATCAACTAAATAAAATAAATTAATAAAAACTTTAAAACGAATTGTTTCAGTCGGCGGTTACTATTTACAGAGCAACTGTGACAACTAGTCACCAGTGCTTAGGAGAGTAGGGCGACACATACAAATATCATACAACCTACCGCATGGATGTCTTTTAATAAACTCCAATTTGGTTATACAAGACATAAGTTCATAACGACTTGTGAACGACTGAGTGATAACCTGCATATCACAACACTCACGACCTAAGGAAATAAATATTCTCTTGTTATGTTAGAAAGCAAATAGCCAGTGTGTATAAGTAGGTCACAATTAACAGTTAGTTTAAAGGGGCAGTGTCACCAATTTTTGACCAAAAAAGTCTTTTATTCAAAGTCTGAACTGCGAATTTAAAAATAAACATTGCAAATAGGTTCAATTATGATATACAAGTCATATTAAACAACTTTGAACTTCCAACTTCTTCCGACGACGTTTTCATAGAAATTGATTTAAGATGTCATTTACAATCCACTTCAATCCTCGCCCAATCTCGACCATCCAGACTTCTTATGATATACAAGTCATATTAAACAACTTTGAACTTCCAACTTCTTCCGACGACGTTTTCATAGAAATTGATTTAAGATGTCATTTACAATCCACTTCAATCCTCGCCCAATCTCGACCATCCAGACTTCTTATGATATACAAGTCATATTAAACAACTTTGAACTTCCAACTTCTTCCGACGACGTTTTCATAGAAATTGATTTAAGATGTCATTTACAATCCACTTCAATCCTCGCCCAATCTCGACCATCCAGACTTCTTATGATATACAAGTCATATTAAACAACTTTGAACTTCCAACTTCTTCCGACGACGTTTTCATAGAAATTGATTTAAGATGTCATTTACAATCCACTTCAATCCTCGCCCAATCTCGACCATCCAGACTTCTTATGATATACAAGTCATATTAAACAACTTTGAACTTCCAACTTCTTCCGACGACGTTTTCATAGAAATTGATTTAAGATGTCATTTACAATCCACTTCAATCCTCGCCCAATCTCGACCATCCAGACTTCT